GTAGTGCTCTACCAGTGTTACTGACCTGAAGGCAAGAAAAGAAATACTACTTACTATTTTCTGAACTCTACAGAGAGCAGCATTGCACAGTCTCAGGAAGTGATTCATGACTCTTTTAAAAGTCATTATTAGCTGATATTGGGGATGTAAGAAAACACATCAGAAGCAGAAAAGGGTCCAAACAACTCAACACCCGATCAAATTGAAGGAGTCCCAAAACTATTAACGTAATGAAGGTAATGAAATGATCTGCAGATCAGATTTTTATACAAGTTTCCTCTCTGCTCCCTGACAGATTTAATTTATATGATAAAATAAATGTTGTGCACTTGATTTCCATTTTAAGAGTAATTTATGAGCAATTATAATGGAGTATGTCCATTTGAAAATGATTAATCTGAAGCTCAGAACAACTTACATCTTCCAAATTCAAGCTTTTCCCTTTCCCAGTGCACTAGTATAGCCTATTCACACTTAAAACAACTGAACAACATTCATTTCAGTGAACATCTCAAATTTCTTGAGCTGCCTTTCCACATAAAGACAAGAACACACCTGCTACTCCATCAAAACAATAAGGTATCTGGGTTGTACACTAGGAGAACTGCTAAACAAGCATCACTAATACCAATGATTCTAGAGTCTGTGAAATAAGCATACTAAAATGTAAGGCCCACCAAGCTTGCACAAATGCAAGAGCGGAAAAAGAGAAAAGTTATAAATTACACCATTTAAACATCACAGAATCACAGAATTGAAGAGGTTGGAAGGGGCCTGGAGAGATCATCGGGTCCAACCCTTCTACCAAAGCAGGTTCCTTAGAGCAGGCTGCCCAGGTAGGAGTCCAGATGGGCCTTGAATATCTCCAGAGAAGGAGACTCCACAACCTCCCTGGGCAGCCTGTCCCAGTGCTCCGTCAGCCTCACCGCGAAGAAGTTCTTTGGCATGTTGGTGTGGAACTGCCTGGGCTCCATCTTGTCGCCATTGCCTCTTGTCCTGTCCCCACAAACCACTGAGAAGAGGTTGGCCAAATCCCTCTGTCTCCCACACCTCAGCTATTTATATACACTGAGGAGATCCCCTCTCAGTCTTCTCTTCTCCAGGCTGAACAGACCTAGATCTCTCAGCCTTTCCTCATAACGAAGATGCTCCAGGCCCTGTATCAGCTGTGCGGCCCTCCACTGGACTCTTCCCAGGAGAAAAGAAAAGAGTCCAGTCTTTTCTTTCCTGTCTTTTTTGTACTGGGGAGCCCAGAACTGGACACAGTACTCCAGGTGAGGCCTGAGCAGGGCAGAGTAGAGGGGGAGGATCACCTCCCTTGACCTGCTGGCCATGCTCCTTTTAATGCACGCCAGGATCCCATTGTCCGTCTTGGCCACCAGGGCACACTGCTGGCTCATGGCCAACCTGTCATCCACCAGGACCCCCAGGTCCTTCTCCTCAGAGCTCCTCTCCAGCAGGTCGTCCCCCAGCCTGTACTGATACATGCAGTTGTTCCTTCCCAGGTGCAGGTCTCTACACTTGCTCTTATTAAATCTCATTTGGTTTCTTCCTGCCCATCTCTCCAGCCTGTCCAGGTCTCGCTGAATGACAGTACAGCCTTCTGCTGTGTCAGCCAGAAAGAAGTCCACACCTGAATGAGGACATGGTGTAGAAATGCCTTACAACCTACTTTATTACAGGAGTTCCCAGAAGAACTTGGCGTGAGTCAGATGTAGGTATCAGTGTAACAGTTTACTACTGTTCACCTGAACAGAACAGTAATGTGACGCTCCACAGACTTTTATGACCATGTTTCCTTCAGAAATAAAGAGAAAAGAGTCTTCAGTAACATTAAATCTGCATCTGGATGTACAGACTGCTCCCCCACTAAAGACTGACTGCTTCAGATTTTAAAGTAAGATACAGATTTGTTACAACGGGCAATAGGATAATTAAATTAAGTTCCAAACAGACTTCATGACCAGACTCCACAAGTCAGGATGCTATAAGGTCACAAACCTTTCACTTACGGTATACTGCAGTGCAAGAACCTAGGGAAATAATATTTTCCTCTAGGTTCTTTCCTCTTAAGCATAATGTTCAGACTGCTTGAGACACTTGCAATGGATCAAGGAGAGCAAAGCAGTAAAATAAACTATCAGCAAGGGCAACCTTGAATATGTAATTATAAAGAGCAGTAGAATTAGTGAGATAAGTTTTTAAAAGAATCTAGAAGACACGTTTTTATTTTTAAAGTATGGAGTATATTCACATGGTATGATGGCTTTAAACTCATCCTGAAGAACAAGAATCTGTACACAGCTTTGGATGCCGCAGGAACCAAACAGGCATCACAACACAGAAGCAGAGCACCTGCTGTGTGTCAAAACAAACAAACAAACAAAAAAAACACAAAAAAAAACCACCACATCATCTCTTCTTTGTGGCACTATCACCAGCTTGTAATTTTCAGTAATGTTGTTTTCTGATGGTTTAAATACAAACTTTACTAGCAATAAGGATAAACATCTATGCCTCCTACTTAGCTTAACATTTAAATATGTGTACTGGGTCTGGCTGGAATGTTAACTTTCCCGGCAGCAGCCCATACAGTGTCGTACTCTGTACTTGTAGCTGGAATAGCAGTGTTATCACACCAGTGTTGTGTCTACTGCTGAGCAGCAGTGGCACAGTATTAGGCCTTTCTCTAACCCTCCTAGGGGGTGGGCAAAAGGTGAGGAGAGAAACATCACTAGGGCAGCTGACCTAAACCAATCAAAGGGATATTCCATACCATGTGATGTCACACTCAGCAATAAAAGGTGGAAACAGGAAGAAGAGGGGAGGGGTGGGCTCTCGTTTGGAAGACGTCGGTCCTCCTCTCGAACACCGGCTGCGTGCGTTGAGGCCTTGCTTCAAGGACGTGGTCAATCATGGCTCATTTGTGGGAAGTAGAGAGTAATTGCTTTCCTCTGCACTTCCATATAGCCTTCATTTATTTTGTTTGTTTGTTTTCCTCCCTTCTTTTTATTTTCCTTTTTTCCCCTCCCTTTCCCCTTTCCCTTTTTATTTCCCCTTAAATTGTTTAATTCATGGTAGTCTTTATTTAATTATTATAATTATTTCCCTTTAATTAAATTATCCTTATCTCAACCCGTGAGTTGTTCTTTGCTTTACTTCTCCCCCTCCTCATCATCTAAAGGAGGGGGAGTGAGAGAGCGGTTGTGGGGTTTAGCTGCCCAGTACGGTAAAACCACCACAATATGTGAAGATGAAAATAAAGCTTTTCCTGACAAGGTAACACAGGCTTTCTATTTCAAGAGAAAATTACTTCATTATGCTCCTTTCAAACATATTTCTTTCTCAAAAAACAAACACAACACAATCTGTACTAAAATTTTCATCCTAATTCTACATAAGCAATTGTGGGCACATCCATACACAAACACGGCGTAGAATGAAATCCTGTACAGTAATAAAGTCACTTGCCTTAAACTTCAGAATTTTCAGTCACAAATATATCTGTGTAATGTCACATCATGTATAGTTTTGCTGTACTTTATTATGTACAAGTCGTAAGATGTTTACATGAGATAAAACTCCAGTAACCTACTTAAGTCACTAGTGAGCTGTTTTCAGCCTGGTTAGAAAAAAAACCTTTACATGAAATTCCGAAGTACAGAAGTGTCATTACTTGACAATCCAGTTTATATTATTATTAAAGGTTAAAATTCAGAAGGAAATACACCAAACAAAACAAAACATGAGGCTTATGACTTCGAGTATCACATGAGCAAAAATAGGATGTGCTCTGTTCCCATGGCAGGGGGTTTGAACTAGATGATCTTTAAGGTCCTTTCCAGCCCAAACCATTCCGTGATTCGACAATAAAAGAGGGAACAGGTGTACAGAATAGAATCTAAAAATATATAAGATAGAATATGATTCCAATCTTTAAATCAACTGCTATAAGATCTGTTACAAACCTGTATGAAAACACTGAAGACAGAAAATGGAAGATGTTAAGAGAGCAAACTATTGCAAAGATAATAGCAAATAGGCTAAAGTGGAGAAAGAAAAACATGGTCATAAAGCATGAGCTGTGGATTTTTTTTTTTTTTTTGCAAAGGAATTAGTCTAACAACACACGGTATGGAGAAAAAGGAAAACACTACTGGCAGGATCACAAAAAACAACCAGAAAAGGCTTCTACAAATTTCTATATAAAGCACACTCTTTTTACAATTCATTTTTAAACGTAGTTCCTCCTGAAAACAGAAAAAAAAAAAATGCAAGAAGGGGATTCCAGGATGCAGCATTTATCAGCAGTTTTACATTGTAGGATGCAAGACATCCACTTTTGTTCCTACTCCTGTTCTACAAAACTAAATAACATACATAACTTAGCTGAGGAAAGACATATTTGGGGAAAAAAATAATTCCCTTCCAATGCAGCTAACATCCACTATCATTTCATGTGAAGCTACCAAAAAGATTTGTCCTTGAAATGATCATTCAATTTACAAGCATGAAATTACTTTTTGTGACTACATACCTTAGTGCCTTAAAAAGCATCCAAGAAAAAAAAAATCCTACTCTCAACTGCTGCACTCTAAAGATACATATTTTGTATTGTTTGTCTTTTCAATGTTTAATTGGATTCACATTTTAAGCTTCTCTCCACAAGAAAACACATTTTTTTCATGAAATCTGAATGATTTTAAATTATTTTTTAATGAAAAATTCATATTCTCAAACAATCACATAATTCTAGGACCTAAAATCTTTAAGAGTTGCACACTTTAAATCAAATTGTTGGAAAGTAATAAAATCTGCATGATGTACATCACGTACATTAAGTATTTTGTAAGTTCTTGTCCTAATAGATGGAAGATTTGCATCAGGATTAACAATGGAGTAAAAGATTGCTATCCACAAGATGATTTTTCAGTTATTGCTCAAGATTTTCTAGGCGAGTAGTGTTGTGTGCAAGAAAAACACAGTCACACCTATGATACCTGCAGTTCTTGTCCTTTCTGTCTGGTCTGTGCCTTGTTTCCTCCCCACTTCCTCATCATTTCTCACTGCGTGACACTTTCTCATGCACTGGCCTGTACTCCTCAGCCCAACTCTGCTTCACCTGTTGGGACAATTAGTAATAGGACAGCCACTCTTAGAATAAAGCTTTAGTATTAACATGCTAATTAAATATAAATCATCATTTCAGACTATCCAGAGACTGAGAAGAGAGCACAGAGTTAATATACCCTTATTTTTGTGTACATTCTTCCCAGCCATATGCCTGTATCTTTTGTTTCAATGAATGCTGGCACCTTTTCAGTATGTAGGGGCAAGCTCTTCTCCTCTCTTCCCCTCCCTTACACATCACCTTTCACAGACAACATGGCTTTCCTTTCGGCTTTCCCACACAATGCCACGTTCTGCAACAGTCCTCGTTTCTTCAGACTCTGAACAGAACACACAAGGGTGTTAGCAAAAGCATTTTCCCCAATCAAAGTATAATGTGAAGTGATTCAGCTATAACATTGCAGTTATCTTACTGTTAAGCAACTTTTGGGTTCGGTTGTTTTTGTGTTTGACATTTTAACCCTGCTCTTTTGCTGACAAACACACAACAACTACGGTAGAAACCTCATCCTGAGAAGAAAATCTATTCCTGAATTTTATAAATATTTAAATCCACGGATCCTGTTAACATTCCAGGTGCTTTATAAAATACTGGTAATTAAATTAATTACCATCTTTAGGTGGTCTACAGACTTAAATCAGAATGCTATGGTTAAACACCAAGTTATTAACACTCGTTATTCCAGACAGCTTTGGATTGCATATTTTGAGAACTCTTGGACTTCTTTTTTTTCTTCCAACATGTTATGAGTCCCTCTCCTTATTTTTTAAGGTAGCAAAACAGCAACTAGAGTTCCTCCAAGACAGCATTGTTCACAGCACACCAAGCTACGTTTGCCACAGGTGTGCACTGAAAATACCTGTTTCATACCAAAACAAAACAAAAAAAAAAAAAAACACAGATAAGACCCACGTGAAGTAAAGTTCACAAAAATCAGTAATTCCTAAGGAATCACGGTCTTGTTCCTTGGAGATTCTACAGCACTCACCATATTTACACTCTTACTGTCCAGTCTTTCACCCTACTGGCCCATCAGTTTATTTTTATATGTAGACGTGCACACATAAATGCACACAAACACTTGAGACGTCTCACATGATGGTGAAAGCCAAAAAAAATGCCATTAGCCATCCAATTACCTTCCAGAAAATATTTTATGGGATCCTGCAGGTAAGAATTAGCAATGAGGAGTTACTGTCAAGCTACCTTTGCATTGATAAGGTACTTAATTTCACTTCATTAGGTTTTTGGGGGGCAGGGTGGAAGAACTATTGTATAAACAAAGGCTCTATTTCAATAAATTGGAAGACGTGTTACTGGATAAAGCGGGGCTATGCACACACACACAAAAGAAAAGCAAGTTATATATGAACAGACTTCATTAACGGATCTATTTAACACTTCCAGACTAACGATAGTTAAGACAACTCAGTTTCTGAAGCAACAGAGAGCTGCTGGTTTTCAACTGGAAAAAAAAAAAAAAGGAACATAAAAATAATCAAGAACTGCATATAGCTTATTTTGTCTATCAGGAAGTGATGCCTACACTCACTGATCTTTCCTTCAGGGCACGAGCTGAAGTGGTGTTAAAGCTGACCTACAGGACTGTAGAGCCGATGCATTTTTGCCATGTACACCTTTACTTACACTTTGATACCCCTTCCCTATAGCTGCCTGGTTGCCCAGAGGAAAAATAGCAAGGAGGAAGAACATTTTAAAACGGAAGGAAAAAAGCCTCAAGAAATGAAGGATGTCTGCGCTTTGTACTCTTCTGAATTTTCTGAAACTGACCAGTTTCAGAAGCAAGCACTTTTTGTGCACATCTACCAAGTTTCACTACACGGAAACAAGCCTGCTAGCACCCAGAGGCCAAATGGAAAGGTAACGGGTCGTGAACTTTTGAGATCGAGAGGTTTCTGTGCAGGAAGTTTCACACAACACTTTCCACCACATCCAGTGCATTATACTGCGCAATGAGCAACTTAAAAACAAAACAAAACAAGCAACGACAACAACAAAAAAATCACAGATTCCAAATTGGCAGTGCTTTAGGAAAAAGCACGACTGAAACGAGAGGGGAAAGAAGAGGTGTGAAGTTGGAGTAATTCCTCTGGTAACACAAGATCTGAACAAGTAACTTGTCTGCAGACATGAAGCCAGAAAGAGAAACTGGAAGCACATGAGGAAAAGAATCAGAAAACAAATGCACTGTGGTGGATAGTAAAATGAGGAAACGAACAACCAAAAGTCCCGGAGAAATGGAACTGGAAAGAAAATCCTCATCTAGGCAAGCAAAGCTAGGCAGGAAAATAAGACCTAACAAAACCCAGAAGGATTATGTGTAATTTGCAAATTAAACTAAGTCACCTGGCAATATTACAAGCCAGGAGAGTACTCAGATACGAGGTTCGTTTAATTTGCAGTGGTCTTTGGGTCTCTGTGGCAACACGCATTTCATGCTGACTGGCAAACAATATTCTAGATGCTTGCAGCGTATAAAACGTTCTGGTTAAAAGGCTCGAAGGCATACGGGAGCCTGTTGCCTCATGATGAGATGAAGCTTAGTCCACGTGCTCAAAAGGAGGAAAAATGTCTCTCTTGATAAGTGTATAAATGTGCTTTGAATCCTCCACGGAAAAGGCCACAGACATTTTTAACAAGCCTGGGAGTTACCTAGAAAGCAAGGCTCCAAGCTGGAGCAAGAGTCTTGACCAGACCTCTGCAAGGTACCCCGAACAGGTCTGCAGGGGCCTGTCTTCATTGCAGGGGGAAGTTATTGCACCTCCTTCTGCAGCACGACCACACACGCAGGCACCATGCCATCTGACGACAAGAAAAGGGTGACCCCTGCCTCCTCTCTGGTCCCAGTCCGGAAGACGAGTCCAGATTTGATTTCTGCCTGACCGATCATCCTCCTTTCCACGAGGGAGGCAACGCAGCTCCCAAGAGCTGGTCATGTTTTGTTTACACAGCGTGATCCACGTGGGATCACCGGCCAAATGCTTGCACGATCGTGTGAGCAGAGTGCAAGCAAGAAAGCATTAGTTCAACCCCCCCCACTGCTGGTATGTGCTGCTCAGAAAGGGAACGTCTTCTCCTGAGCTTGACATGCCACCGTAATACACCGCGTCGTTTAATGAATAATGGCATCGAGCTGAATTATTTGTAGCACGGTATGATTAAGAAAGTTAATTGCAGAGATAATGGCTAGATTATTGAATCACACGAGCGCTCATTTCATCAGCTTTCACCGGAAATTTAGGGTGCGGTTTCCTGGCCGGTTTGTGCTGATTTAAGGCTGCAGCCAGAGGAGCGTCGTGCCATTCCCCACCCCGTGGGCTGCCACGGTCCCCCCGCAGCACCATCAGGGTGAGGGAGGGCAGAAACGCAGTGCTGGGGATGGGGCTGTGCTCCTGGTGAGCGTGCTGAGCCTGAACAACTTCAGCAGAGCAGCAGCAAGAGCAGGGAAGGGTGCTGCCTGCAGAGCAGTCGAAGCACTCCTTGCTCTTCACCTACCCACTTCGCAGCACGGGGTGAAAAACGTGTAAAAGGAGCGTCCGCACACCTGGAAAGACAAGCCCTATTTCCATCTGCAGCTATAAAAAAAAAAAGTCCCTCAAACACACAGAGCTTACGCAACACGTAACAAAATTAAAAATACAAACGATACACGACAGCCAAAACCAGGAAAACTGAAAGCAAAAGTGCCACACTGCGACAGAGCAGAGTCACAGGCTGCGCCCTAAAACAGCTGTAGGCGTCCTTTCATCGCAGGAGAGCTCCCACCCTCACATTTTGACACCGCGCTGCATTTAATCAGGATATCCTTTGAAAGCAAGTCAATCCAAACACACTCGCACTTATCGCTTAATACCTCAAGAGGTGATTCAGCTAGCAGAGCAACTGTGCAGCAGGAAACTCAATAAATGCTCCTCGGCAGGACCCTGCACGCCTCGCTGCTGGCCTCCCCCCACGGGGGGCCCAAGCAGATGAGCTTTCTTGACCATAGACCAAATTGCACAAATCACCACTTGACAACTGGTAAGAAAATCAGGGGAGTGATTTGTGTTTTGCTGTTTTCTTGTTTCTGATGTCAGATGATTCACATTTCCAATTATATCAGACATTATTAGCAAGCCGGTTTGTTGAGGGAACATCAACCTCAGGAGGAGGGATGCTTTCATTCGTACCAGGGACACGCCAGGTATTTTTCCTAGGCATGTAACTCAAAGTGGGTTAGAAACAGGCATCAATAAAGCAATTATATGCAGGGAAACGTAGGAGAAATATATGCTATCACATACATGCAATAAAAAACCCCAAAGCCTTGTTAGACAGAAACCTAGGTCTAATGACAGGCATGTGCCTCCGTGAGGCTGAATGTCACCCTGCAGAACCCAGAATCCTTCCTAAACCTGAAGATTTCCTCACGTCTGTGGAGGGGCTGAATTTAGGTTGCAAATGGACGTTCAGCTGCTGTGTTTACTGTTGTTTCTCATTTTTTTCCCCCTTACCAACCCGCAAGAAAGTCGCTATTCTCTCTTCCAGCATATATGCATACACACAAGGCCCATCTTCAGTAGCCAACATAAAATCACAGTTCGTACCACTCATGATTTACTTCAAATTAATAAGTTCAACTTGAATCCCATTTTCCCCCCAAACCAGTAATATTAGAGCTGAGTGCTTTGCCACAAAACAGTGAAATTTTTACAAGCCTTCTACAGAAGCCTCCTGATCCAAACCTAAAACGTTTCCTCTTTTATTAACTTAATGTATTCTCACTCTCACTAAACGCAGCAGGCTTTGGATCCAAGGCAGGCTCTGTGTCCCACAGAAACAAATTAACCCGTGTATATTATTTCCACAAAGGCTACAATGAAGTGTAATTTTACTTTATTGCTCTTCTTATTTTGAAAAGCGTTTAACAACAAAAATACAAGCTGAATTATGACAACTTTTAACCTGTTTTTACTTTCAATTATTCATGGTACGTAAGGCAATTTAACTTCACCATGCCTCTCAGCAGCATGTATCTTTATCTGTCTAACAGTCTGGACACCCTGCAATCAAGTCCAATTCTCAGAAAGTACTTAGCATCTCCTAACAACCCCCCTTACGTCCCCCAAACCACCCCAAAAACACAGCCCTTCCTGAAGCACCAGGGGCAGTATCCCAGAAATCACAGCAAACTTGAACTTGCAGTTATCACCAAAAACCTGCATCATGCCTGAAACATCCAGAGAGATCCACTGAAGAAAATTTCTTAAAAAACACCCCATTGATTCACGCTTTATCGGGTGCCTTGTCTTTGCCTTATTCACTGGCAAGCAGGTTTACTGTTGCACTTTAGTGCTGCTTTGCAACATTACCTCTGTGCAACTCAGGAGCTGCGTTTGTTTCCATGAACTATTTCTACTCAAAACACAACCACATGTCACCAGCCATAAGTCATCTCTAGTGTCAGTATTCCAGAGCACCACACACACTGCGTAAGCCTGTATCCATCCTCTCTCAGCAGAAATACCAATTGCCACATTAAAAAAATTAAATTAAAAAAAAAAAAAGCGCGGAAAAGAAATCCGTCATACTAATTGAAAGATACTATGGAGACTATAGGGACCAGACTTTAAGATTAGCTGGCGATTTCACAGCCTAGGGGAAACCAAAAGTGTTATATTCTAAAATGGATTAAATGAGACAAAATAAAAGTAACTCATGAATATATTTCGTACGTTGGAAAGGACGACATTGTTGCTCTAGTGTTAGCGCCCTTAACTTCCTTTCGGAGATTTCCCAAAAAAACTAGTTTCACAGCAAAAGTGAAAAGAAAAACAGACACTGATCACATCAAAGTTACTCATTTTTGAATGAATCTCCCTGAGAAGGCACATGTAGATCCCAGCACCATTTTCTTTCTGACTACCCAGCCTCCACACCACAAGCGCCCTCATCAACCTGCCTCCCTTTTCGAAGGCTTGCGCTCCAGCGGCCCTGAGCTACGTCGGGGAAGTTTCGGAGACGCTGCTTTGAGTCACCAGAAAGGGAAGAAAAGGGGAAACAAACAAAAAAATAGTTCTGAAACTGCAGTGAGAGTTGTGAGCGCTGAGGAGCCTGATCCGTGCTCCAGAGGTGTCGAGGAGCAGTGTGGCTCCTGCAAGTCACTGAGGCACAGCGCGAACTTCGAGGTAATTAATCGCACACCTTGCACGAGGTTTTACCGCCTGTAGCGGCGGTTTTCGTGCATTTAGGAGAAATTGTGACAGAAAATAAATAAAAGGGGGTGGGGGGGGGGGGGGGGGGGGGAGAAGAAGGGAAAGGGGAGGAGGAGGGCTTCAGCTTTCGGCTGGCGGAGCACGGCTGGCTGCCTGGGACGGGGAAATGTGTCAGCAGGGCCAGGGCAGCCCTTCGGCTGTAAGATCCCCGCAGGTGGAGGGAGGGAAGGGAGGGAGGGAGGCAGAAGCCAGAGGGCAGCGGTGACACCCTGAGGAGGCTGTGGAGCCGCCCGGGTGGCCCGGGAGTGGGGCAGGTCCCCCAGGAAGGAGGGGAGGGGAGGGGGGGGGGGCAGGAAGAGGCAAAAAAAAATTAAATGAAATTAAATTAAACAGCCACACACACAGCAGGAGTGAAATAAATGAATTAATTAAATTAAGAGGGAGGAGAGGCGCGCTGGGGGGGGGGGGATAAAGCCGCACTGAGGGGAGGGGGGGGGGTTAGAAAGTTACCCACACGCCGGCCGCCTGTTGTCTGTCTGTCTGTCTGTCTGTCTGTCTGTCCGCCCGTCCGTCCGTCCGTCAGTCCGCTTCCTCCTTCCTCCGCTACCTGCCCGGGTAGCCGGAGCCAATATCCCCTCGGCCCGGCCCGGCCCGGCCCCGCCGAGAGCCGGCCCCCGCCTCTCCTCCCCGCTGCCCCCGCCGGCGGCGGGGCCGGGCCGGGAAGGGGGCGAGGCCGGCAGGGAGCCGCACCCCCCCCCCACCTCCCCTCAGGGACACCGCCCCTCGGGGCTCAGCCGCCCATGTCCCGGCTGGGGAGCGGGGAAGGGGGGCTGGGGGGAAGGGGACCGAGCGGGGACGGGGGCTGGGGACCGGGAATGGGGCTAGGAGCGGGAGCAGGGGGGGAGGCGGGGCGGCGGGCGGAGCGATACCTCCTGCCTCCTCCCCCTCCACCCCCTCACTGAGGGGAGCTCGCTGCCGGCGCCAGGCGCGTGCGCCTCGCCGGCCTGGGCGCGCATGCGCGGTGCGAGACCCGCTGCCGCCCCGTCGTGAGGGCTCTGTGGAGAGGGGAGAAAGCGCCTCTGCGCCGAGGGTGGCTGCGCGTTAAAAATCGGTTTTATCAATAAAATTGTGAATAAAGACACCAAGATCAGCCCAGTCCAACGCCCCCCCGGTGCCACCATCACCCACTGAGCTGTGTCCCCCCGCGCCACGTCCAGCTCCTCACCCTTGGCGTGAGGGCGCTGAGGGGAGGGGGGAAGCCACCTCTCTGTGGTGCGTGTCGGCGCTCGCCGTGCCCCCAAAATGCTGCTCATGGTGTGGGGAAGCCACAGGCGTGGTGCTGAGGGGGTGCCTGTGGTGCTGAGGGGGCACCTGTGAGGGCTACACCAGGCCCCGTGGTCATCACCTGGTGCTGAGGGGCTAAGGCGTCCAAAGGGCGTCTCCATCACACAACACACTATGGCCCCACGCACAGAAGCAGCTGAAAGTAAAAGCTAGAAGGCAGGGAAGGCGAGGTGGTAGGAGGAGAGGGGAGCCTCGTGCAGGCTGGTGTCCCTGCGGTGTGGATTCTTTCGTTCAAAATGGGAAGAAAGTTGCTTTCGTATTTGTTTGGTGCCTGACACAATCACCGTGCATGACAGCATCCCTTACGGGAAACAATGGGACCTGTTAAATATTTGCATCTCCCGGAGTCACCCGGTGCACGACTCAGCCTGTTACAGAGGCTCCAGGCGATTGCAGTCCGCAGCCCTGTCTCCTGTCAGGTGACGGCCATATACTGCAAACACTTCCTGACAAATGATACCTGTGGCCCGTCACCTGCCGGAGGGCGCCTGCGTGGATGGGGACAGGGTGTCCTTTGAGCCCTGCTGCAGGCAGAGCGAGTGGTATGACTGGGGAAGAAGCCGGATGGCAGCAAGGTCACCAAGCATTTGACCCCGCTGCTGCCTGCAGCGGGGAGCACCTAGGAAAGCCGAATGCTTTGGGGTGGAATCCACACCAGGTTTGATTGAAGGATGTAGGTCGAGAGTCCGGTCCGTCTAAAAACAGGGTGATTTTATTCAGTTTGATATTTATGAAGTGGCAGGACGCTGCTTTTCGTCAGTGCTTTTCTGCTTTTTCATCCATCAAACATAATGGTATACCAATCTATCTTTTCTAGCACATCTGCTCGTGTGGCCAGCTGATACGCTGTATGAGGGGAATTAACCCGACCTTCAAAAAATACCTATTTTTAACTACTTAACTTGTAGACCTGGTTGGTCCCCTAATGCAAGACAAAAAGTGGGTGTTTATGCTGCTTTTCTAGTTTAGGGCAGGAGGCAGGAAAAGCCTCTTGTAGGGAGAGGGAAATTTGAATTCTCACATGAAGCTCCCAGGTTTTTGTGGTTTGAAGACACAGCCTTTTAAGTCCTTTAAACTCACCTGAGTTCACTAACCTGGGAAAAGTTGCAACATCAAGTGGAAATTGTGAGAAATTTGTGGTTTCATATGCTTTTCACCTTAGACTAGGCTTTGGTTAATGGCCTTATAATGAAAGCAAAACTGTGTAAGGTGCAAAACGCACTGAAATGACAAGGCATTGGCACAAACCAAAACCACCGTGGTTTTCGCTGTTTCATTCTTCCCTGACTTAAACTTTCAATAGTATTGCTGCTTCAGAAAGCTTAATATTCATTATGTCAGACTGCAAATACCTCATAATCTTAAAATTTTATTTTTTTTATGGATCTAAATATGGGGAAGTGGAATTACAGTAGTTTTCTACAGCTCAGTGAAAATAAGGATTTGAGGTTATTGTCATTTGTAGAAGAAATTAGGATCTGACTGTATTTTTTATTTAACTGGTCGTTTTTTAAGAGTAATTCCTTGAAAACAGTAGATTTTGTTAATAATACAGGAATATTTAAAAGTTTGCTTTTCCAGTCCCCCATTAAATACAAGACAAATCACAATGATTAATAAATAAATAAATAAATGAAAGACCCCACCCAGCATAATGACTGATAAGGTAAGATTAGAAATACTTTGGTGAGTATGCATTTCAAGAAATTAATTTTATTCCTAACCACAGACTCAGGATCAATGGTGTTTGAATCAGATGGTACGACAAAAGAGCATGAGGAAAACAGATATAGTTGCTAATATATATTCTAATATATATTTATTAAAGGTATACATATAGGAATCTACTAGCGTGTACAGTATATTAGAACATACTAATATCAAAATATCGGACTATACTTACATTTTAAATATGTATTGTAGATCAATAATTGTATATATGAGTATGAAATTATCGGGTTTTTTAATCCTTCTAAAACCCTTTAAGTCAAGCTGTGAACAATGCCTCACAGTTTAATTCCCTGGCACACATGTTTCTTATTACAAGTTGAATATACAGTGTAATTTAAAAATATTATGAGGGTTCTCCTGTAATTTGTCTGTATACTATAAAAACAGAAATTAGCGTGTTTTGCCAATAATTATCTAGACTGTGCTGCCATTGAAGAATGCTTCGTAATTAATTTCCAAGTGCAATTCACAAGGCCAATAGAAATTTGGATAGATTGTTATGACAGGAAAAGAAAATAAATCCTTTGTGATAAGGCCTGTGATCTGGTTTTAACATGTGGGATTGCAACACATGTGAGGAACAAAAGAAAAAAGTTTAAACAACACAGGGAAGGAGCAAAGGGGAGAAAGAGATGTTAAAGTAATGTGAGAGAAAGCACTTCTAGGAAGCAAAATTGGGCTTTGGAAGTTATATTCTTACTTTCTCTGGACTGCTTTATGTTGTCTTTATAAGTTCTTTATATGTAAAATCAGTGTCCACTGATTTTACTCATTCCTTTCTTTTCTACTTGCTTCCCTGGCTAGTTGCATCCATTCCTTTTTCTTCTGTTCCAGTCCCCGTCAACTGCACTCTTTTTGGTACCTGTCAAATTCGTGTTTCTTGTAACTTCAGGGAAGTTGGTGGAGTTGTACCATGTACAAGTAAGGTGGGAGTGATTGTGTTGAATGGATGCATTGTGTTTCAGCTGACTCCTTTATAAGGACATATAAACCAGACAATGGTCTTGTTTACTTTAAAGTGTTATATGGTGTAATTTAATTAAATAGAACTTCTAGCAACAACAGAAGGCTGTATGCACAGATGCAATTATAGGATTAGGGCCTGGGTGTGCAATAATTACCCTGCTAAACATGCAAATATGATTAGACAGACAAAATCAGTCAATGTAATCTGTTCTAAACAGCCTACATTTACCAGTTTTCGGCAGCACTTTTTTTTTTTTTTTTTTTTTTAATGGAAAATGACTGTATTTGAGGTTATTTATATCGAGTTTAAAAAAACAGTAATAATAGTAGCTACCTTATTTTCCTTATTCATACCTTAATATGGACAATAGGAATAGAAATAATACTTACAACACCACCACCCCAAACTGGTCTGTTTTTCTGCTTTCTAATTTCACATTTTCAAGCTCATTGCAGGAATCCCTTTTTGATTTAAGCTCACCTGTTTAAAAAGTTTTCTTTTATGAATCAAATACCCAACGCTTACAATGTTTTGTTTTTTTTTGATTAGATCAGTTTTTAACATTTGCCAGAAAATCACTGTGTAGTCTTCAAGTCATTGTTCTCTTATGCAATATCCAAGAACACAATATTCCGTGTAAACTGATTTAGTACCAAAACAAGACAGAGAAATATTGGTTCCAAATTGCCCTGTCTTCACTGGGTCTCATCTGGCATAATTGCTTACATTTCTGTGTTTTAATTCACACGTCCGTAAGTCAGAAATTGTGCTTATTATGAAATACAGAGGAATGAATGCTTCAGAATGTGCTTAATCCTTTCAGTGAGCAATTTAGCGTCACCTTTGCTCTTTTCTTGCCATCTTAACTAGTAAAAAATTATGACTTTTCCCTAACATTTACTGTTAAGTCATTTTAAGCAATACATGTAGTTACTGCCAGTTGTCAGCTCTTGTAATTATCTTCTAAATTGTACTGTCATTACAGTAAGTCATTAGTTTACACATTTTTGCTACATTTACTTCTTATTTTTGTCATCCAGATATGTCAAGCGATTGCTATATCAATCCTAATTCACAGGAACAAACTCATTACCATATCATTTTAAGCTTTCTCTTTTTTTTTTTTTTTTTTTTTTTTTTTTTTTTTTTTGACATTAATTTCTAGCTGGCAGCTAAAAGATCTTCTAAACTATGTTTTATGTAATGGGAAAATATCCCCTTCTCCATCTGACTTAGCTTCTATTTACTTGAAATAATTCGTTACATTGTTGACTTTCATGTAATTCTCCTATTAAACCTTTTCAGTTCCTTGTAAAATGCTATGTGTACATGCTCAGATGTGCTGTGTTTATACGAATACAATACAACTTGGGTCCTTCTTTGTTTAGTGTGCTGGGGAAGAAAAAAAAAATCATTTCTTACTCCACAAGTACTTGATTAGGACAGTCATCTTTGCACTTCTCCGGCGGTACAAGGACTTCTCTAGCAACTGTGGCTCAAGAAGTAATGGTCCTAATTAAACCTGGCAATTCACTGTGACTTGCACTAGCATTGCAGGCTGCACCTTTGGTCTTCTGCTGGCTTCTGGAGAGAAGCTGATCCACACACCATCCAAGTGAGCTAAGTCCTTTGAGGGAGCCTCTCAAGGTGTCAATTAGATAGCGTGGTTTGCCGCTCCGGTTTCCAAGTCCTTCATGAAGAGGGCTGATGCAGTACAGAAGAAATTGGTGCAGAATCTTTGCGGGATTTTACTGACAGGAGAAAAGGGGAAAATGGTTTTGCCAGGCTACTAAAAACAGTTTTTATCGAAGTCTAAGTCAAGCTAAAACGATTGTGTGCGGCCACAGTTTAAAAGCAAGGATTTTATTTTTGTGTTTTCTTAAGAAAGTTCTCAAATTTCTGTTTGACTGGTAAGTGTGAAGAATAAATAGAATACATGTGCTATTGCAACAGGCACACATTAGGTTCCTGCTAAGGAATTTAATTAAAACTGCCTCACTACAAAGACTAAAATACCCTCCCATGGTGAAAATGATCTTGTGGGTAGGGCTTGACTGCCATTCAGTGCTTTGGTTCGTATCCTGCTTTCCAATCAGATTCGTTCTGGGACTGCAGTAAACCTGGGGAGCATTTGTGGACAAATAGAACAATTTAGTGGAATTGCTAACAGACTACAGCAAGTAAATCATCGCTGATGGAAACAACGTAGCTAACCTGTTAGATAAGTGAAGTGCATTGCAGTAATCAAGCCTTGGGCTGCTGAAATTTATGGGTGCTTTAGAGAGATCCATGTCGCAGAATGCAAAAGATTGAGCAAAGACAGAAAAAAGACTTTGGTGGGTCTGGATGCCAAAAGTGCTAGGGATTGGTGCATGATATGTAGCAATGGCAGAAAAAAGAAAAAAAAAAAAAAAAAAAGAAAATTTATTTGTGCTTGTTATTAACAAAGTTTACTTTGGTCTCTGGTGCAAGATCTAGCAAGCTTGGAAATGTGAGACTGCACTCCAAAATCAGCATTTCTTGGTGTTAATATACAACTGGCTGGACCTACGAAATTCCACCTCCCAGTTAGACCAGTTCTGCTCTTAAAGTAAATAGAGAGCAGGGGATAGTTCAGGGGGAGCCCTTGGGACGTCCCCAAATCCAGTTTTAAGCTCAGTGGGAGCCATTTGAGTCATACAGGTCAGGAGAGGAAAGACAGGCTTAGACTAAGAGCAGGACCTGCGGCTTCACCTCTGTACACAACTGGCTTTCCTGGCCAATAAAACACTGCATGTCACACCTGTCTCTTCTGAGACTCTCCTCGTCCTGCAACAGGAAAAGAAAATTGGCTAGAATCCACCCAGTGAGTATGGAGAGACCTACTTCTTAGTCATTTTCACTGCCCTCCTCCCAGGACTCAGCAGGTGAGAATCCTGGGTGTGTGTGTGGTGAGTCATGGCTCATCAGGTGGCTGCTCTGTGCATGCATGTAAAACTGCGGCCTGCTCTCAACCAGACTCATAAAATGTGCCTGGAAATGCTCAGTGAGTATTATCCAAAGCGTTTCCCCCAGACAGAGGAGGTTTGATGTCATGGTTTGCTTTGTATTTGAACAGCACTTGTGCTATTACGCAGCTAACAAGAATATCTTGACACTCTCATAATTCGGGTAGCACTAATGAAACTCTGCATGTTGAGGAGCATTTGGCCTAGGGTTTCTTAGTTGATTTGGTTGTTGACTGAAGATAAACTTTTTTTTTTTTTTTTTTCTCCTGTCTTAACAATTTTAGCCATCCACTTTTCAATACAGGGAATAATTTATTGTACTCACATCTTGACATTCTGTGACCTGGATTTCTGGTACAGGATCTATTAAGTTCAGTGAAGTTACAAACAAATTGTATGAAGATTTGTCACTCTCAGTGCAGAGAGCTGCCCTCTCCCTTTGGAGTGCTGTTTTTCTCGAAGTCATGACATCAAAGTTTTCTCTTGTGTCAAGTTTTCTTGAACTGAGGCCACTGCTGTGCCTAACAATGGAGAAACGATCACATCTTTTCCAGAAAGAAGCTTTTGTACTTTTATGCAGCAAGAGCACCGCACGAGCATAATAGATTTGTTACCTCCTCCAGGTGCCTTTTTGTTACGGCTTGACATAACACGTGTACAATAGAGCTGTTACTACCTCCGGGTGCCTTTCCACTACAGCTTGACATAACAGTACCCTCTAGCGGTAAACGCCTGTTTATTTATTTATTTATGTATGCATTTATTTATTTATTTGTAATGTGTTTGGAAGTGCCAGGGAAACGGAACTCGCACGGTGCCCTATTAGAGGATAATTATTGTACTGGCATACCATTACCATACGACAGCTTTTTTCCTCTGTACAATTTTTGCTTGACACTCTTTCAGTGTTACTGATGGGCTTAAAGTAGGACCAAAATTCTCATTAGTACAAAATCCTCATTAGTACAACTCTAGTAAATTGTCGCACATCTTTATTTCAGAGGTCTTGCAAGCTTACATGTTCTACTTTTTCACCTCCCAAATATCCTAATTATGTATTTCTGGTAGGTAACCTCCCATTTTGATTTTCTTGCCACAGGATTCTTTTATGTCCGTGCTGTTCCCTTGAAGCCTTTGATCAGTCTTGAGCAACATCACATTTATGACTCATTTGTTTTACATTTGTTATTTGTTAGCTGATTGTCTTTAAGGATGCTCCAGAGTGATTTTAGAATTTACTCCCACGTTATATTTTACAAACCACAATTCCACCTGCATGGACGGAATTTCTTTCACAACAGATGCAGAAAGATTATCTCACTTCAACTTTGTAAGTAACCAAATGTACCAATATGTGCATCACTGGGTGAGAAATCTTAGCCATGTGAACATCTGCTCTGTGTTAGATTTCTGGACATCTGCAACATCTGTAACTGTACAATGTTGCTTTTTACATGCAACATCTACGTATTACCTGCCTACACTTCACTTTATTCTGCAGCTATTTGGAATTATTTGGAACCAAAGAGTTCAGAGTTCACACTGACATTTACTTGTGTACGCTGATGAAGTGTGTCTACAAACAGTTCCCCGTGGGTGTACAGAATTTCTGAGAGGATACTCATGGAGACATAACTTTCCAATTGCACTTTTACAGGCCTAAATACACTTAAGATTCTAGTCTTAGCAAGCTACAAACAAACTACACACCAAATTGTACATGGGCTCTCCTGAATGACTTTACCCTAACTTCTTTCCCCTCTGTTGAGCAAATCATCCATATTCCTCCCAGATTTACTTGGCTACATGAAAACGCAGTATTTTGATTAATCGTTCTCTTCTAATTTATTTTAGTTACTGTTAGATGAACAAGAAAACCACGAAATAAGCATGAGAAATTCAGTGTTTTTTTGTTTGTTTGTTTGTTTGCTGTCTAGGTGTAACTAGAAAATAATACAAAAGATATCTCCCCCTTCTTATTTAAGAAAATTGCTTTTGCCAATTCTGTCGAAATACAGTCTTACACAGTCATACCCTACTAGAGACGGTGACAATCTGACAGGGGGCAAGGTGATCATGGGGGACAGGAACCGTCCAACACAGATTTGGCCTGGCTGTTAGGAGAATGCCTTTTCCTTCCCCTTGTTCTTCCTCAGACACTCAGTTTTCTCCCCTTTAGTTGTGAGAAATGGTAAGTCAGCCCTCTGACTGTGCCTCTGTGGGTGACTCTTTTCATAGACAGTGAAGTGCTCGGTGAGGGAAGTCAGAACCATGGAATCATTTAGGTTGGAAAAGACCTTCAAGACCATCAAGTCCAACCATCCCCTAACACTACACGTCTACCACTAAATCGTGTCTCTTAGTGCCATGCCCACGGGTGTCTTAAATACTTGCAGTGAGGGGAACTCCACCACCTCCCTGGGCAGCCCATTCCAACACATAACCACCCTTCCCATGAAGAAATTCTTCAAGACATCCAGTCCAAACCTTCCCTGGTTCTAAACGTGTTCCCCCACCTCGATGTCCATCTTGTGATGAGGGGCCCAAAGCTGAACACTTCCTCCCAGCCCAGGCTGCCCCCGGCCCCATCCAGCCTGGCCTTGAGCACCTCCAGGGATGGGGCACCCACAGCTCCTCTGGGCAGCCTGTGCCAGGGCCTCAGCACCCTCTGTGTGAAGGATTTCTTCCTTACATCTTTCAGTTTAAAGCCATTCTCCCTTGTCCTATCACTCCCCTCCCTGACACAGCGTCCCTCCCCACCTTTCCCGTAGGCCCCTTAGCTATGGGAAGGCCGCTGTGAGGTCTCCTCAGAGCCTTCTCTTCTCCAGGCTGAACAACACCAACTCCCTCGCCCTGATGGCCACACTGCTTTTGGTATAGCCCAGGGTATGGCTGGCTTTCTGGGCTGCCAGCACACATCAATGGCTCGTGTTGAGCTTCACATCCACCAACACCCCAACCCCTTCCCCTCAGGGCTGCTCTCAATCCATTTCTCCACCCCCCCTGTGTCTGTGCTTGGCATTGCTCTGACCCAGGTGCAGCGCCTTGCGCTTGGTCTGTTGAACTCCTTGAGGTTCACACTGGTCCACCTCTCAAGCCTGTTCAGGTCCCTCTGATGGCATCCCTTCCCTCCAGTGATGGCACTCAAGATGATCTGCTCCATAATCTTCCCTGGCACCGAGGTTAGACCGAGAGGCGTGTAGTTCCCTGGGTCCTTCTCCCAGCCCTTCCTGCAGATGGGCATCACATTTGCAAACTTCCAGTCAGCTGGGACCTCCCCTGGTAGCCAGGACTGCTGATAAACGATGGGAAGTGGCTTGGTGAGCACTTCCACTAGCTCCTTCAGTACCCTTGGGTGGATCTTATCTGGCCCCATAGACCTGTGGGTGCTCAAGTGCTGTTGTAGGTTGCTAACCACTTCCCCATGGATTATAAGGTGCCTCTGAGAAGGCAATCAAAAGCCGGTCATCATTTGTCAGTCATAACCTGTAAATCAGTTACCATTTAACCTGCTGTTAAATGGCTGCCTTGTCGCTCTGCTCTCACAGGTACTTACCCTCTTGCTTGCCTTCTCATTAGGATGCTCATAATTCAGGGCAGGGCTAGTGATACACGCTCTGTTTACCCAGCAGCAGGCTCAGTGGGACCCAACCTTTAGTGTATCAGAGGTAAACAGCTCGTAAGCCAGGCTAGAGGAATGATCAGGCTCTTCCCTTTAGACTTGTGCTTCTGCTCCTTCCAAAGAAGTTTGAAGAGTGAGAATCTTAGTCAAGGAGTTGCAGCAATCAGTCTCTTCACATCGTGTAGCATTGCTTGGTGTTCTTTCTTCCTGAAAGCGCAGAGAAGGAAAATCTGGTGAGTATGTATGCTCCACTGTTTTTAAGTTCAGTTATCATTTGACAGATACCACGAAGTGTTCAGGCAATGAGTATGATCTGTGCCTCATCTCAGTTAAAATGTGTGGCGAAACACCAAGAGCCCTTTGCTGTCAGAAGGAAGAAAGTGTGTAGCATAAAGCAGTGGCTTGCTGTATTCTGATAGATGCTGTATTCTGATAGATCTTTTTTATTTTTATTTTTTTTTTTAAAGGCTAAAGCAAAGGTAGCAGAGTTTTAAACTAAGGGAGACAGAGAAAAACCATTTAAGCTGGTTACTCATGTCTTTGGTTCATTGCTGTCACAAAGGACAGTGTCTCCATAATTTATTAGACATGCTCAATGCTGTTAAAGGAAAATGCAAAGTGTGTATTGAAAACACAGATGGGAAGGATTTAAGTTTTGGATGCTACCACAAATTATCTTTTAAAGCACTTTGTCTATTTTACTGACTGTGCAGCCCCCCCAAGCACATCCTGAAGAAGTGCCTTCACAAATTGCATGGAAACCTATCTTCAGTTTCACCATTCCACTTGCTACACAGGAAAATAGTTTTTGTGTAAATCAAACCGTACTGAAAAATAAATAAATAAATAAATAAACTAGATCACTTCAAATCACGTGAAATCCTCACAGCAGTACTAGTTTTCAAGGGAACAACATAAGAGAAAATCCTTGTTGAAAAAAATCCCACCAGAGGTCGTAAGACAGAACTATTAAAAACTTTTCTAACAGGAATACAGTTTTGAAGAATATTAAATGCCAAGACTTCGAACAGGACCGAACACATAGCCAGCCTCTGTTTCTGTAGGTATGGAAGTAGCTCATTTCAGGCAGATGGGAGCGCCGGGATAGTCTGTGCCTCGCCTCTCTGCAGCAGGCTGCTGAGCAAAGACAGAACCGAGGTGTCATGAGCACCCTCGTTAATTCCTGCTAATGTAACCTTTAACAGGAGCAAGAATGCCTCAGTGCAGATTGCTAATTCTTCCTTTTGTCTAACTCCTGCCAACTTCCCAGAAGGAAACTGAACCAGTTTTAGCAGTGTCTTGCAGCAGAGCACCCCAGACAGGTGTGTCTACCTTTGCCAGAGGCGTGTACAGAGAAATTGTTCGAGATGTTTCCAATGCTAGTACATCTTTTTTATTTTTTATTTTTTTTACAGAGGTTGTAGGAATGCTCTGAATGTTACTGTTGGAGCTCAGTTATCTGTATGAAAAGCGCTAGGACAAACAGATGTGCTGTTTATCTTGGCAATGCTGCTCTGCATTGATCTTCCAGCATGACATTGAGGCATGGTCAGATATTCGTATCCGTATAAAAGTCACAGTGGTTGAAGGATGCAGGGGAGGGAACTTCTGCTTCTCCACTTTTCCCCTCAGCCATCTGTGTCTTCTTTCCAGTATAAAATTAAATGTCTGTATCTCTTAGACAAAGACATAGAGAGAAAATTGGGTGGCAGTTCTCTCTGCAGGTTTAAAGCCTAAACTGGGCCCCAAGGCATGAGTTTTAAACATTTGGAGGCAAAAGTAGCTCAAGCTATCACTGAAATTAAGGGAAGGACCTTAACTGAACCTCAAGGTGTTAAAATACAAAATATTCATCGTGTGCCTGTGATGCAGTTCACCCACCCAAGCTAAAGGGATTCCACTATACAAACCCTGCAGACCTGTATGCCATGGGCAGGTATGCAGTGTGATCCTCCCTTTCTTCCAGACGTCATAACTGCCAGCAAAAAATTACAGAAAATAAGCTGTGACATGGAAGAGCCTTATCCTGGTGACAGTGACACACAGGGGGATGCGCGCCTTGAGGCTCCTGAAGTATTTCTCAGGTGGTTGGAGAGGTATTCAACCTCCAGCAAGCTCCCCAGCAGTGCACTGGATGTGGGCACCAATAACTGCCTAATGCATACCCTGCTGTGACTTATTTCTGTAATTAGTTGTATGGAGCAGCAGGCACAAGAGAGCTGTGGCCGCCCTGCTGACTGTTATTAATTATTAAGCATGTTTCCTTGGACATGTACATGCCCTTGAAGCTGCAAACCTTCCTTTAAAGCTTTGGAAAACTTGTTTTTGTAACGTGCAGTGCCTTGATTTTTCCTTTTCTATAAGTTTCCTTTTTTTTTTTTTTTTTTTTTCCGGTGATACAGATGAGCATTATTCCTTTAGCATCGTACCCTTCGCTAGGAATATGGGCCATTTTTCACAGAGAGCTCTCCTAAAACCAGAGGGGGAAGGGGCCTGACCTGAGGAGTTCACAATGTAGTGAGGTAAAACAGGCTAGAGGAGCAGGCACAGAAAGAATTGCCCAAGGTCACAGGGCAGAGCTGGAAATGAAACCTGGCCGTGTTCTCTCCCCCTCACAGGCCACCTTGCATGCCAGCTTTGCACAGTCTCACTGAAACAGAGCTACCCATTTGTACCTGCTTTGAAATGGCTTTTCTGGCATATCATTAACAAAAAAAAAAAAAAAAAAAAACACCTGGTTATATCGTGTCCCTTCTACTGACATCACAACAAATGCTGAAATCTGGTCCCCCTTCAGTGCAGGTTTTCACCCTCTCTGAATGCTGCTTCTGCCTCAGCCCTTGCACATCCTATTGTCAACATCCACGTGCAGGACAGCAGCAGCTCATGGGGGGTTTCTGAAAAAAAGGGACATGGAGAGCCAGAGCAACGAGGCAGCACAGGTTATAATTTGTGTATAACCTGGTCTGCAAAAACAGCCACCTGTAACCTCATGCTTCAGGTAGCTTTAAAATAATTTACAGTAATTAAATGCCTGCGAAATCCAAAATTGTACAGAAGAATTTTAGGCAGCAGAAAGAGTGTTGCACCTTTAAAGACAGTGGGAAATAGAAACAGCAAATCTTCTGCTTGGCATAGGTGGTCTGACCTTGTCTGGAGCTGGCCTCAGCATATCAAATAGAGGAAGAATGTAGCAGAAGGAGTCTTTTTAATTAATCACCTTGTTTACCTTGGCCCTTCAGTTCTTTATATGACTGTGCATATGAATGTAAAAGGGGGAGGTTGCACCTTAGTCAATATGTTATTTAGTGAAGTTTTTTTTTTTTTTTTGTCAGCTTAGCTCCCATGGTAGTTGTACTTACTGCTAATTTATTACAGCCTTATTAAAAAAGCTTCACTTTGAAGAATAAGATAATGGCTTTGTTGCCACTTTTTGCTTTGGTTTGATATGGGCTTGCTGGCTCTCCTGAAAACAAAATCTTCTAAAAGGTGCATCATTAAGACATCAAACAGAACGAAGAAATTACACTTGACACTTGGCTTAGTCACACATTTTTCTAGCCATCCGTATTTTAGTCTCTTGTTATAATTACTGTTCCCCATTTATTTACCAAACTATTTTGAGACTTGCTACTGTGCAAGTTACAGCACACCTCAAGGTGCCAGATACCTTTTAGCTGCTGTTGTAAAAACAATAGAGCAGAGGATGGCGCACAGGCTCACCCTTGTTGTCCTTGCTCCGTGGCAGCTCCCTGTCTAGCCACAGCACCACGGGGGGGAGGCTGGCAGTGGGTCTGTCCATCTGTCCATCTGCAGACCCTATGGATTTTGAGTGGTGGGGACTCCAGTGGCAGCTGCTGGGTTGCTGGCCCTGTCTCAGCTGCTTTGCCTTCTGCAAAACTTCTTGGCGCCAGCAGCAGGAGACTAGCAATGAAGACATACTGAGGGCTGCTCCCTGTTATAAAACACGAGCCGGACAAAAACAAGCTGGCTGCTTCTGAAGAAAACTTGTCTACTTGCAGGGCATCACAGCAGAGTCTGTGGATACCCCGTATCCATCACCTGGAAGGGAAAAGGCTGCCAGGTGCTGGCGGTGGCCACTGTGTCCCCACGGGCATGGCTCGGTGCCGCCGGGCGGGCGTCTGATGGGTGTCAGGGCACAGCCTGAGGCAGCTTTCTGCTGCAATCACAGCCCCTGGATGCAGGCTCCCTTCAGCTTAATGAGGGGTAATAGTTGATAATCCTCTAGCATCTGCTAGGTAACAAAGAAAAATCTCTTACCAGATTCTCCTGTATTTTTTTTTTTCTCTCCTTGTTTTAGATTAGTAGCTCAAACCTTAGCATCACAACTGTCTTATTTTGCTATGTCTCATTGTGACTTATTCACTGACTTCCTTTTCCCCAAAATAAATCATTTTGTTTTATATTTGACACAATCTTGCTAGTATTTGTTGTTATTATTATTGTGCTGGGGTTGCCCTTATGTTTATTCTAACAAAAAAAGGTTTCTCACTTTCTCTTGAATTTCTCTTTTCTTGAATTTCTAAACAGATCTTCTTTCAACTTGCTTGGCTTATACTCTCGTTTTGGAATATTTTTTGGTTGTATTATATTTTTGAATTTCAGATAAACATTGCAGTCAGCTTAGGACATATTCCCACAATTTCCATTTGACCTTTTTATTAGAATACCACATAATTCATAAGTCAGCCATTCTGATTGCTGGCATGTTTCCCCGCTCTTCCCTTTGATCTATAAAATTACTGTTCTGCAAGCTGACCCGTCAAGCAATTCCTTATAAATAAAATGTGCCTTTTGAGAACAGGTTCCTGCATGGGCCAGAAGGCTGAAGATGTCAGCCTTTCCCAGTGGAGGTGTTCCCAGTCTGGGATTTCTCTGGAACTGGCTGGAGGAGGTGACAGCTACGTGGATGAGCAGCAGCAGGAACCCTTCGGCTGACCAGGCAGTGTTTTACATACCACTTTGAAGTTTGTCTGCTTCGTTTGGAAGCCCCCACTTCTGTCAAGCTGTTATTCGGCTTCTGCAGGAGTGCTGTGTGGCTCTTGGATGCCTGTGTGCCCCTGCGTGTGCCTGGTGGTGGTGGTGTCCTTCCCTTCTGCGATGGCTTGTTCCCACTCGCTTCCAGGAAAAAATGGAACTGGTACAGCCGCTGCTTCTACTTCTCTGCCAGATCCCTTCCCGTGCTAAGATGATTAGGTTTATTTGCTTCAGCTTTGCATGCTCAGAATGAAATTAGGCAAGTTATTTCGGTGACAAATGTCAGGATAAATCCTATACTGCCTGTACTTTTTTGAATGCAGTTACTAATGGAGTCATTGACTGATTTACACAATAATAGGATTACTTAGGGTGCCTCTTCAGAATGGAGTAGTGCCCCAAATTTTTAGAGAGTGAGTAGAAAGAAAATATTTATCGATACATCAAAATAAAAAAGATCTGATATTCAGAATCTATAGGGGTGTAACAAAAGGGTACTACCAATTAAAAAAAAAAAAAAAAAAGAGAGAGAGAGAGAGAGAATTATGTTAAAGATTGACTGGTTTACTGATTCTGAAACCTTTATTTTTGTCCTTATTTTAATTTTCCCTATTTTGATTTGGAAGACTAAAGCATTATTTATTTATTTGTTTGTTTATTTTAAATGAAAGGGAGGATTATATATATAGGTTAATCTTCCCTTTTTTTTCCCTTTATATATATATATATATATATATATATATATATATATGTATAGGTTGCACAGCACCAAGCAAAAGTTTTCTTTTTCCTGACTGAATCTGATGTGCTGTTGAAGCTTGTGATGGACTTTGGGTAACAAAAGTGATTTTCACTTCCAGTGAGGGATTCTCACCACCTCCCAGAACTGGATGAGAACACGGCTGAACAGCTTGGTAGGTAGCAAAGAGGAACGCAGGCCATCTTCCAGGTAGCTTTCCCTGCAATCTGCCTTCAGAAGCAGTATAAGCAACACCAAAACACGAAATGGCTACCTGATTCATGCTGTTGTACACTGAAATGATAAGGCTTGGGAAAAAAAAAAAAAAAAAAAAAAAAAAAAAAAAAAAAAGGGTCAGTTGAACCGAGACACACAGAAAAAAACCTTGCAACCGCATCCTGAGGGAAACTGCAAAAATAACCTGCATTTTGCTATTTGTACAGTCAGCCTAGTACTGTCAGGGTCAATCTTCACCAGCACAGGGAGACACAACAAAGGCCAAAACGACAAGGACTGGGTGGTGGAAGTTAAGCCTCTAGCAACAATTGTTCTCACTCATGGGTGACTGAGTGCTGCTCTCAGCTGTTGCGAATATTTGTTTCCAGAGAATGACCCAGTATATAGCTGTAAGCTGTAAGGGATTGGCCTTCCCTCTGCTGCTCCAGGGTTTAAGAGCTACCTGGGAAGCTCCCAGCCCACTAGATGCCTACAGCAACTTGCTCAGCCACTGCTGTGTAATCTTTACGTATGTATTTTCACAGGTATTAGCTCAAGCAATTGTCTCACAGGCAGGAGAAGCCAGGCAGCAGAGCTGCTGAACGGCATGATATTTATCGCTGTGCATTGTTTTGATGCGTGGGACCATGTTTAGTGGTTCACAGAGATGTTGTACACTGAGATGATCTGTGTATGATATTTTTCATAGTCAAATATAGAATATTATATAGAAGTCATTCCTGAAGAGCTGAGTTAGTCCTTTAGGAAACAGGGAGAAACAAGTGATACAGCAGGTCAGCCTGCAGGTCATCTGCCAAGAGAAAAGACTGGCTTTAATTTACACTTCCAGTGGTGTCAGGTCTGAAAGTCTATTAACATTCATAAAATGAAATGAGTTGTGGACAGCTGCCAAAGAAGAGACCTATGATTCAGCTGCAGGATTGCAAGCACTGGTTTGTGTCTGTGTTGGGAGGAAGTCGTGACAGCTACAGGGCTGCAGGATGGAGCTGTGCATATGGAAGGTAAAAGTAAGTGGGTTTTGCAAGCAGCAAAACCAGAGTCCCTGATCCCTTAGCAAAACAGGTGGGGAGGTAACCCACCTCCAGGCCACCCAGGCTTAGGAAGCAGATTTTACACGGCATTTGAATACACAAGAAACTTCATTAATGTTACTTCCTGCCAGAGATAAGGGATCACAAAGAATATGTTTGAAATGAATCACCTCTTTTTAAATGCAGATAGCTGAGCGCACCTCTGGGAAGCATCCCTCCTGATGTGAAGGCTACTTCTCCCCTCAGCAAAATGTGTGTGGTTTGCCTTTATAAACTCCCTTCACCATTGCTGGTATTTCAGTGGAAAGAAGGCCTCTGTACACCCCTGAGACCAGATCCTATCCTGTGCTCTGTCGTGCCCTGTAAGGCAGTTCAGGAGGCCTGAGGCTTCTAATCAGATGAAATAGAGACCTCTCAACCCCACTGTTGTCTTTTGTGAACACCTGCAGTAACAAATCCGCTAGAGGAGGTGTGAGGCACACAATTAAAGCTGTGTTTTTGCAGTAGGGAATTATTTTCCTGTATTCCAAGGCAGTTGTGTAGTCATACCAAGGAGAAGTGCCACACTGTTCCAAAATACGGCAGAAGCTTCAGAAAAACAGGATGAGCAGTGAGAGAAGAGTGAAACAAAGATCACAAGTTCTCAAAACATAAGAAAGGAGAAATTAAAGGGTTGAAAAAAAGAAAAAATGTACATATATGGTATAGAGGAGCGTTGAGGAGCTTGTGAACCTGCAGTACCCAGCCAATGAGGAAACAGGGGAGGTGATCAGGCGTCGGGGAATAGGGAATAAAAGGTTAGGATTTGTTTTCTAAAATGTGCTGCTGATTGACAGGACACCCAGCATTGCAATCGCAAGTAAAACAGCTTCACAGAAGAGCCTGTCTGAAGAAAATTCTTTGATATTTTTCTCACAGAGGCAACCAGTCAGCCACAGATGGTGACCCTGAGAGGCAGACACTGGAAAACCCACTGCCTGCCCAGGGGCCTCTCGTGGGGGCCCTGAAGGGATGCCCTCTCTCTGCCAGACACGGCCGTGAGATTATCTGTGGGCCTGGAGAAGGAGAGAAAGAGCCTCGCTTTGGTTCAACAAGTGGTCCCTGGGGTAACGAGTCTCTCCTGCTCCTGTAAGTATTCCCCCCCCCCTCACAGGAAGGGTGCTGTCTTGGCAGGCAATGGCACGGCACATTTTCCTTATTTGTTAATTGCCCCAATAAATAAACAAACAAACAAATAAATAAATAAATCTTTCTCTTTTGGGAACATACCTCACGATGGTCATCGCCGAAAGAATGGCAGCCTGCAAAGCCACTGCCTCTGCCACACTCTCTCCAAGGCTTTCCCTTACTGCAAACCACTCAGCACTCATTAACCCCTTCCAGTATCAAAAACCAATTACCTTCCTTAATGACCTTTTCTCCTCCTTACACATCAGCTAAGTGCAAGTAGATGAACGTATCCACCCAGCTTTATACACACCCTACGGAAAGAGATGTCCAAAATTAAGAAGAAGTCATACATTATGTCAAGAATAGCAAAGACACTACGTTTTCATCTTCTCCACTGGGACCGATGCTTGCTGGCAGAAGGACATGCTGGGGCTGGCTGAGTGACAAGTTTCTGTGCTCAGCTCTTAGCTGAAGTATCAGAGTAATTTCCAACTCTGCGTGTAATGTAACCGCTGCTTTCATTGCAGGGCTGCAGTGAGTGAAACCAGAACCTCATTTTCAGATAACTTTCAAAGACAGAGATGCGACATCAGGATGACAAATATTGAATACGGTCAAAAATGCCATAAATAGTATCATTATTGAATGTTAGATAGTTTTAAAAAGCTAGTAAATACCAGTGTTTACTGCATGTGACTTTTTAGGGGTTATTTGCATTGCTCCTTCTTTTCTAGCCCATGCACAAAGCCATCTGCTAACTGTAAAATCTGATTTAGTTTGCTTAAGGAGATCAGCTACAACTTTAAGGCAGCAATTAGGTATATCTGCTTTTGCTAGAAATCAGCACAGAAGGGATTTTGCTTTCAGTTACCCTGCTTAACAGCTTGTAACTTGCCACAGCATCACTGCAGAAATAAATCATCTGCTAGCAAAGGAAACACCGGACATCGTATAAGGTTTCTCTTCCATTCCTGCTGTTAACTTAACTTTGTCTTATTTGAGGTAAATGAATCATAATGTCTTCCTTTTGAAATCTTTGTGCTGCATCATACATACTCCAGTTGTTGTTCTTACTCACACTCTGGCCACATCAGCCCCATAAAATGGCTAATTAATTCTGTGCTCTGATACCTATCTTCTCTGCCACCAGTGGAACGTACAACATTGAATATTTATTGCTGTCAATGCCTAAGAAATGAGCAGCTCTGGAGTTATTAAAGAGAAAATGACACACAGGACTTTTAATGACGCTCCATGTATTGATGTGCTGCTGACCACGGCACGTAGTAAGAGGCCATTATAACTGGCTTCGCTAGATTTTCACACAGAGGTCAGATACTCTCAATCCTTTTGCCAAGGAATGAGGGAGGAAAGCATGGCACCCTCCTCCCCGCATACCTGCCTGAAGGCTAAGGACGCAGCAACCTTGGTGGTGTTACACTGACAGCTCATTCAAAAAAGCCAGCAAAGGAGCTTTTGAAAATAGACCCTAATTTTAAGGATATAGTGGAATGTTTTGAAGAGAGAGAGGAGCCTTCCCTCACTCAGATTTTGTCTCTGACTCAGCTGATAGTTATGCTTTTGTATGAAAGCCAGGGAACAGACCAGCTGAAGTGGGAAATTGGAACTCTGTGTCCAAGTATCAGGGCAATTTGCTGCAGCACTACACTCATAAGATTCACTTTTTTTTTTTTACAGCAAATGTGAATGGCAGAAAAGATCTGCATCATGAACCTGAGATCAGGCTGTATATTCTGTACCTGTACCAGCGGCTCCAGGGGACAAGACTGGGACAGCTTGTACTCAGCCTGTTTTCATGAACAAACAGCCTCACGGGTGATAGAGGTTACAGCAACCAGAACAAAGTCAATTGTGGTCAAACACAAATTTTGTTAATGCAGTTCTTATTTCACAGAAACCTCTTGCTAAACACTGAAAAGAAAATCTTGCTGTTCTGCAGCAGGTTTGTGTGATGGAACTGCTACGCTCCTATGAAATAACCTGACAAAGTTGCATAGGAAATGGCAGCTGTTGAAGCTTTTTGTAAGGCACATAGAAAAATATCATGCACACGAATTTTGAAAAGCCACAGGAGGTGTAGTTGTCAAGTTTGTAAGTGTCAAGTCTGATTTATCCCAGTACAATTCATGAGAACCGAACAGTTTTGTCATCTTTAAAAAGTGTTGTTTTGTTCATACTATTCAAAAGCTGAACTCTTACATTTCTGAATCCTTCTAGTGTCTTTGAGATGTTTAAAAACATCGGAGGCAAAGATGCTTACATGATTAGACTACACCGTGGATGTAGCCTTCAGCGATTTGTAAGACTTGGCCATTCTTCATTCACAACAGAAGAAATGTCTTTTCTGTCAGAACAGAAGCAATATATTTAAATCTTTTTATGTGAAATAGTCTTGCGTGATTCTCTCCCTATAGGGCTTATTGTTTTTAGTCTATTAAATCAAGAGGCAAGAACAAAGCATTTGCCATTATGTTTACTTAAAACTGTCACTTGGCTTCAAACCTGTCTCTGATGCATGATGAATTGGATATAACAAGACGTAACCGCAAAGAAAACACATCTTACATATTCATCACTGCCTCAGCCGTCAAAGTCATACTCAGTAACTCTTGAATTGAATACTCAATACTCCTGGCCTCAAGTTAGTAACAATAAACTCCCCCTCTAATTTTGAAATAATGGAAGGCTCTCCTTTATCTACTGATTAGTAAGAAATAAGGAAGAGACTTTGATGTCCCCCCCTTGGAATTGTTGTAATATTTTAGCTTAAGCCTCCTGACCTGATTTGGAGGGCTTCAGGTCATGAAGGATTAAAATTTTCTCATAACTGAAAAGCAGTTCTCTGCTGCTACCTCCTTTTGAGATTCTTCTCTTATCTCCAAGGTCAGGTGAAGACATCAAGGGACTGGAAATATGCTCTGTCTGTGAGATTGCTCAAGAGGACCTTGTAGTGTTCTCCCACATAAAAACCTCATTTATATCTTCTTAATTCAAGCAATGTGCTCAGGCTTAGAAAAAAATGGCAAAGTAACAGCCTCCAGCAGCTTTTAAACTGGTTGTACTTATCTGATTTTCAAGCTGTTTCAAACATCTTTAATTGCTTTGGTTAATTTTAACAACTGTTTTCACAAGATACTATTTCTCCAGAGCAGCTTTCTCTCCCTGTTATGTCTAGTTTAGATTTTCATGCCTGGTGAGTTATTTGCAAGATCCACTTCCTGGTTTCCTTCAGAAATTGAGGATTTCCCTTACACATTAATTCTTCATCACTGCTTTGTTCTCATTACACTCACTGTTAAGGGAACATTTCCTTTCCCTAGATGATACAGGCATGTAAATAAGCTCTTTGGTTAAATGTCTGTGCATCACAGACTGGCATCCCTTGGTTAGCTCCTAAGGAAATTATGCTCTGCATTCCCTTTTGTGCTGTGCTGTGTTTTTTGTTGTTGTTGTTGTTGTTTTCTTCATTAGAGTGATCATTCATTCAGAGAAAAAAACTGGTCTGAAACAGTGCTCTAAGAGATCATTTTGGAACATGAAGTTATTGCTTCTGCTACGTTTAGATTACATGTATATAAACCTAATATGTTATTTCTTCCAACTGTTAAGAGAAATCAGTGGAAACAGCTGCACAGATTTCAGTGGGGTTTGTCCTCTATCGTCTTGCTCCCCGAAATAGTTCAGTGACAACCTCGTCCTTACCACTCAGAAGCACCCCAGCCTGGACAAGCTCTGCGTTGGTGCCCTTCTCATTTTTCTGACTGAATCACCCAGAAAAGAGGCGCCCTGCAGCCCCAGCGTGACATCCCCTAAATCATGGGGAGGACCTTTGACAGAGAAAAAAATATTTAAACATTACGAATCTCTGGGCACACGTGCTTCATTTCTTCAGGCTGTTGCTGAGACTCAAAGGTTTTGTAAATTTGTCTAACTACCTTGATTGCGCAGCACGACTCAATTACAAACAGGCATGTGAATACAAGAGGTTTTCTTGCAAACATCACATTTATGCATTAAACAGGAAAATCAGAGCAGAAGGCCTTGAAAGACACACAGATTTCAAAATTCCCTGGAGAACAGAGAAAATTCTTTGCAAAGCTATATTACCAAAACACAGGGACTGTCTGGTAAAGGAAAATATTTGATGTCAGGTCAAAGCACACGCATTTTACTTGTGAGTATGATACAAAAACAAACTTCACATATCATTTACTCTTTGTTCACACCATTAAAGAGAGAAAGGACTGGAATTACAGCAAAAGCTGTAATGAAGTTACCTACAGGTTCTACCTTAAAGCTCTTCCTTCATTTTCCTATCAGTTTCTGAAGCTTTCATACATTACTCTAAAACTTCATTTGTTTCTATAATCAATTTCTTTTGAAAGACAATTTCTAGAGTATGGAATGTGTAAAAAAAACATGCTAAAAATATGAAAATATGGGAAAAAAATATATTTTTTTTTGACAGCCAGTAATGTTTCAAACCGACCAGTGGTTTTGCAGTGGAAAATGTGGTCCCTAGCTAGATAATGAATTCCAACAGAATCTTGTATTTTTTAGCTGTACTTATCCTAACTTGGGATATTTGCAATTCCACATTTTTGTGTGCACAGCAGTAATCAGGGGACACTTCCAGTTAAGCCAACTGTTTCTGAGGGGAAAAAAAAAAAAAAAAGCCAACCTTGATACTAGCCCTCCCAGTGTAACAGAATATCTGAGCTGGCTGAGCAGTGAGTGAGGCGTCATGGGGAGTGCCGTAGTTCAGAGGTCTGGAGGACAAACGTACCCAGCTGAACTGTGACTCAGACAGAGGCACTCAGGGCAGCGGTGGGTAAGAACGCACTTCTAGGGCACAGCAGATTCTACAAAGTGAAATGTTTTACACAAATCATCTCATTTGTCCGTCAGAGTCAAGTAGTATATGACTAGGAAAAAGTTAGGATGTCTCTGCTGCTGGCGGGTAAATAAGAACCGTAGGCTCTAGGAAAAAATGAAGTTATCTTTGTGCTAAAGCAACGTGAATTAATAGTATGCTCTCTGTTCTGCACAAGGATTGATGTGTGACCAACTCTACATAGGTTGTATCTTCCACTGTTTGTATCCTAGTGTTACAGAACAAAATTAAACTGTGTTCCTCTACTGCTTTTTGGTGGTGGCAGCTGGTTAATTGGTTTGTATTTTGAACAAAGTTGCAGAATTGATCTTGCCTGACTTTGAAGAGAACAGGGACCATTTTGCTTTCCAGTTTCCCATCCTGGTTCATAGCAGGACCACACAGTTTTATAGCATCACAGATGAGCACAGGCACCCTGCACTACAGCAATGAGAATGTGGGAGGGGGAAGGAACTGCTTCTGCTGCCAGGGTTTTGTCTTCTGTTTGTAATTTGCCTGCTCATCTTAAACATGGATAAGGGGGCAGCTTAGCTAACAAAACCATGAAGAGTGCAACCGTGGCACATGAGAGCATTGATCGTATACCCAACTTCCCCAACCTTTTGTTTCTTTAGCTTTGTGTAGATCATAGCATCCCAAATCATGTTCTGCTGGAGGGTCTTCAAAACTCCATGGGTCTTGCTGAGCCCTTAAACACACTTGCCATGATGGGAAGGTCCTCACAGTGCCCTGAGTACCACTGCCATGTAGTGCTTAGTGACATGGTTTAGTGGGTGACATTGGTGGTAGGGGGGTGATTGGACCAGATGATCTTGCAGGTTTTCCCCAACCTTAACGATTCTGCGAATATTCAAAGGTTCCCATTTATTTTGAAAAGCCAAAACCTGATCTTGTTTGAGACACCTGATAAAGTTCAACTTCAGTAAACCAATTTGACCCAAATTGTTTGTGGAGATAATGTGTAACAGCAGTCTTCACACAGATCTGGTCTATGTTACTTATTATCTTGTAAGAGTACTTTGTTGCATTAGACATTATAAAAACATGTAATACAGTGTTTTTTCCTTTGCTGTGAAGGAAATTGTGATAGTCATTACCTTTTGCAGCAAATCTAATTGCAGAAAGTGTTCCTATCACAATACTCACAATTAATATTTCCATAAGAACAGCTAAACTACAAGATGTAGGGGAATTGATTATTAATATACATGTACATTGGATTAAATCTAATTGGCAAGTGTAACAGAGGCTATTCATACATGGGAGCTTCATGTGTACTTAAGCTTACTCATTCATTCTTCATCCTCAATTCTGGAAAAACACTTGGATCACTTAAAGATATTTAAATACCCTGGGCTTTTCCAGGAACTGTTGGAGTATGGTGCATAGGCAAAAGAGAGAGAGAGGAAAATCTTGGAGCACAGACAGCTGACTAATGGCAGTGCAAGGTGTGAAAAAAATACAGGGGTATGAGCAAGGGAATGGAAATCAGTTATCTGAGTCATCAGCAGAGCAAGATTTCAAACATTCATTTTTAAATAAAAGCAATTGTGATTAAATAGGACCTTCATTTTATTCTATTTATCAAGGTAAAAGTCAGAAAAGGTGTAAATCCTTTATGTGGTAATCAGGCTCCTGCTTGTACTTGTTTCACTGTGTGAATAAATAAATAAATTAATTAAATTAAAAAAATCCTAAAATGAATCCTGATAAACTCTTTGGTAATAAATGAAGTGTCTTAGGAGAGAACTTATTACGATTTATTCATAAAACCACCTCGTTTTCCCAATTTTGGCAGCAGACACAACGAAGCTTTACAATACATAAGTCTTTAACATTTTAGTTGTTATGAGATGAAATTGCCATTTATCTGCTATTAATAAGACTGCGTTTATTATACGATGGTAGCAAATACCACTGGTAATAGAAACAGCTAATCCACAGATGTTCCAAAGATACCTGCTGGACTGTTCACGACACTGATAGACGAAATGTGTTACCTTTCTAAAGGTAAATTTTCTAAAGGTAATTTTTTTCTAAAAAAAAAAAAAAAAAATCCAAGTAAATAAGTAAGTAAATAAAATCTTCTATGATTCTCTGAGTTAAAAATCCCTAGGCTAAGCTAACAAGAGGTGTCACAGGCTCCCTCCACTGCCCAACACTGAAACAGCTCTGCTAGTAACACTTTTGAGAAGGCTGGTGGGACTCCCCAAAAAGCACGTGTATCCCCGCCAGGGTGGCCGTGTTATCACTGAAGTCAATCAATACACTCCCACTTTTGCAGCATTTGCTGGAAGCTGTAATATACACTCACGATAGTTGGTACAGTTTCTCTCAAACAAAGCAGAGGTATGTCTCCTTAAACAAGCATATATTAAGTTTACACTATGAGAAAATATTCTCTTTTACATGGAAAATAAATTAATTTAAGTCCTTCTTCCTTACCTGAGAAGAAGTGTACTCCAGAAACAGTTGGTTCAATGACAGGATGAGAGGAACATTTCTGTGAGAGCAAATGTCTGAAATACAGCTGGGAACCCCGTTCCCTCAAAGATGCTTTCCTGAAAAGGGTGAGACAGCAAAGCAACTTTTTGCATTAGGAGTTAGTAGAACTGAGGCAGAGGAATTGTGCAGGAGCTAAAGAAACCCACTGCTCAAATGTGCTGAACGGGGCCAGGGTTATGGAGGCCTAAAGGGCAGAATCAAGATGGTTACAGCTGTCGGAGGAAACACCATGTTTTTCAGAGCTGTGTTTTGATCTTAAACATCTTAAGGTCTTAAGATCTTAAAGATCTCCACGCTGGCTTGATGACCCTTGGAGCCCAGCTCCCACCTCTCCTTGAATTAAAGCCAGTAGGTGGTGAAGGCTGGGAATTGGGGTAGCAGGTAGCAGAGCAGGGTGTTAACCACGACAGCAGACCAAGCCAAGGCAGAACAGCGACAGAGCGGTGCTGCCGCAATGCCACACATGAACCAAACAGCTTGCTGACAAAACACCAACCCTGCAAAGGTAAAAAGGCTGTTTTTCAGGGAGAAGGCCTTTCCACATTCCCACGTACGCAGCTATGGCAGCACGGGGCTAGCTTGGCTCCGGGCTGCAATGAGCGGCCATTTTGTGAGGGGCTGCCTCTTCATGGCAGGACTGCAGGCGCCACAGAAAGCATCTCTGTGCATCTGAACCAAGCTCGAGTGGGTCTCTTTGCGGCTTAACTGGACTTTTGCTCAAGTCAGGAAAGCCCAGTGGTTTAATTCCTATGCTGGACTCAAGAACCACCGCCAAAACTGCCCTCCCTGCCCGAGATCTCTGTGAAACCTGAATCTGCTCTCAGGGTGTTGCACTGGGCCTTTGTGTGAAAGCCAAAAGGGAACGAGGACAAGACAAAAGTAGGAGCTGGTGGATGTCTCCCATCTGCATCGCCAGGTGGGCAGCGTGTCAAGGGCAGGGGGTGACAAGAGCGTCCATCAGGGATCCCAGAGAGGGAGGACGAGACCCCGCGGGAAGAGTTATGTGTGGATGTAGTGGTACAGGATCTTGATATGGTACAGGATCTTGATAGTGACTGCTCAGCTTGCCTTTGCTGTGAAATCAGAGAGGAGCTGGGGGGAAGTTGCAGAGGGGACAGATAGGGTTGGAGGAGCAGAGGAAAGATGATCCTGCCACAGACCGTCCCTGACCTGGGGAGGCAGAAGGTGAGACAGAGCAAAGGCTCCAGCGATTTCAGCTGGACTGGAAATGCTTCAGTTTGAAGTGAAACCTCTCACACGGACAGAGAATGAAAACCACTCCACTCCACGCTAGATGGCGAACTTGCATCTAGTCACGGTGTTTGGCTGACCATGGGAGGCCAATATGAGACCATCACGTAAAACAAGCCCCTTGTTGTATTGCAGGCATGTTTGGTTCGCGATAGCCACTTTTTGCTGTCTCTTTTGGTTTTGGAGCTTGGTGTAGGAGACTGTTATCATGCTATTTTCACCATGTTTTGTATTTTTCATACACTGCCCCAGCTGAAGGAAGAGGAATGATGCTCCCAGTAGCCATCTGCAGTGCCAGTGCTGCTCTGCTCCTGTCCCTGCTGCCACATTCATGTTTGGTCCCCACTCAAAAATCCCGTTATCTAGATCTGAGCAGGATTGGATCAAAGAAATATAAGGTACAAAGGGTTTTTTTTGCCTTGAAAATCTGTATTTGGGGCTGTGCAGGGAAGGTGTAGTTTAACACCCAAACACCCCTTCTGAAATATTTATTGGTCTTCAAGGAAGAGAGTTGGAAGTTCACTGTATTAATTCTTTCCCAGCTGACAGTACTGAGCTGCTACTAAGGAAGGTTAGCTGCAAAACCCTTTTCTCATATTCTTTTAGTTCCTTTTACCAGTGCCAGGTCGGCTCGTGTCCCCTGGCCCCAACCACCGCTGCTTTCCTCACACAGCTACTCCTTCCCAACCATCCCTTGGCCATACACCTAAGGCTACCTCTATCTGCTGTCCATCCAGCTGAGAGAACATCAGTGTATCCAACAATCCCCAGTATGAGTGTGAAAAACTTACCTCTTGCTCCTAGTGAGGGGATTTGGTACCATTGTCTCTTTAGATCATGCATCTAAGCGTTGCATTTGCTGCTTCCCAAAGATTATTTTTCTTGCCTTCTCCATTCAGAAGACTGTACATCTAATCTAAGCCTAAATCTAATAATCTAAGACTCTAAATCTAATTTTAATCCAAAGTGTCTCCAGATCAAACACCCTAGGCAGCTCTCCGGTGTTACTTGCTGTAGAGGTTTCTGCTTTGCATAGAGGCAAAGCACACACACTTCCTTACTGCGTTGCAGCAACCAGCATGATATCTACACTATTGCACAATCCACTCAGCCAGCTCATTCTCCTCCAGAGAACTTTGGCTTCCAGTGCACAGCCCAAGCACAGCCTCTGTCCCTGTTCATGCCAGCACTCCTGCTCCTGGCAGGCTGTGTGGCCGCAAACACTCACCTAGCCCAGCCACGCTGCTCCCTCCTGCTCGGGCAGCCACAGAGGGGCTGAGGAGCTGCTGCTGCCCAACGGGGGGTGAGTTCACCCCTGCCTCCACCCCAGGTTGTCACGCCTCATTAGAGAGGAACACGTCTTCAACAGTGAAGCAAGCACAACGGTCAATGTGAATTTTCTGTCTTATTACATGAATTCAGCAAGGATGGACACTTCACCATGCAGGCAATCTCAGACGAGTGTGGACTTGAAAAACTTGAAAACGATTGGACCATGAAGCGCATTAGGAAATAAATCCTAAGTATTGCAAGCTTCTCAATGTGCTTGGGAGACCTAAATGGCTGGCTGGCTGTGCAGGGCTGGCAGCTTAAACCTCCTGGAGCTACCTGCAGGGGCTGTGGGAGGCACGGCCCTGTCTGTGGCAGAGCATGGGGTGTGCAGCTGTGTGCATATGTGTGTGAAGCTGTGTGTAACCTAACTCAGGGGTACCAGGCCTGGTGCAGGGAACACACCAAGGAAAGCAAAAAAAAAAATTAATGAGATGGCCACACAGCAGAGGTACTTGGCACCCTGCAGAACCGACCATATTGCTCTCACCTGTGTGCCAGCACAGGAATCTCAGCATGGCATTTGTATCACAGGGTGACACTCGCTCCCCCCATGCATGTTTTTATGGGACATGCATGCAAGGAGCCACGTAGAAGAAGCCCACTTCCAACGTGCTGCACAGTTCCAAAGGGGTAGAGGAAAAGACAACACGTGCAACCTAGCGTGTGTATTCTCAAGAAGGAATTCGTTTAATCAAGACAAACACATTCTAGTCTTAATCAGACTCAGTTATTCTTCTCTAACAGTCTCACATTTTATTCTTACGTATTATATTTCATTAAAAAGGACAAGTATTTAAAAACAGCGTTGTCATTATACATGAAAGGCCAAAGTTCCATGAGGAAGGCTTTCCCCTCAAAGTTTAGAGTTAAACTGCGTCAGCATCTTCTCCAGCTTTATTGCTAGTGCCATGTTACCTTTGATCTTTAACTTTCCTGACATGAAGGCCATGGTTGGCTTTAGTTTACCTAAAAAGAAGATAAAGAATCAACAGGAAAGGAAGTGGAGACAGAACGTGCAGACAAAACCTTGGTACCCTGAAGTAGTATTTGGTGGTTACTTCACTACCCAACTCTTGCAAAAGCAGCACACCTTTAGGAAAAACAGGTGAGGGGTGTGCAGAAAAGAAGTCTAATGGATTGACTGGATGCTTTTGGAAACTATGGATGCTTCCTGGAGCTACACACCCTGTGAAATCTCTGATAGCTACTTAACAAAGCAGGATCAGCTTCTGTGCTCTTTTTGCTCATAGAGGCTAGAGTCCAGAGAAGCCCAAGGAATTCTATTCTACTTGCATCCCAGCCCCCAGAAGCTAAATGCTCACCCAGTTCCAGGACTACAAAGAGAAGAGCCAGCCGACTGAGCCACCAGCAGAATAAAATGATCTGAATAAAACCTTCTGGGCATGAGACACCGCCACCCCCCTGGTGCATGCCTTTGTGACTCACCTGTGAACATTTTCACAAAGTCGCCACTCGACATGCTCATAACGACGTCGGCCGTCACAGGAGGCTTTCCAAAGCCAGCGCTGCCGTCATTGGTTTTCAGGTCGATGTACCAAGTGCCTCCTTCCTCACCTGGGCACAACGGGGAGAACCAGCGGCAGTCAGCAGGCTGCCTTTGGCCAGGGGTGGGAGCGTGGGGAAGGTTTACAGGAGCTGGTCCTTCTTACCAGACAATTCGAACTGGAAGACGCCCTGCGTAGATCTCACAAATTCTTTACTGATGGCTCCCTGAATAACTCTGAATGTTTCTGCAACAGGACCTGAAGCAGGTGCTGTACTGGATTCACTTGATTTCTTCTCCTCCTTGAATGTCTGGGAAGCTCCTAAAAGAAATAGATTATTTTTTGCTGAAAGATGCACAAAACTGTAAAACAGCATGTCTTAAGATATGGAGAGGACTTGGAAAAGCTTATATGCAACACTGTTGACCATAGGCAGTTTTTTAAGACTCACGCTTTTCAGTCGGGAAAATACCACTGAAATAACAAAATCTTCAATACTGATAAACAAAGTTTTCAGCACCTGGCTACTGAAACTGGTATACAGCACTAAAGGAAGTTCTGTAGTAAATATCTAACTTCTTACTATGTCAAAAGAAAAGTAAAAATGAAACCACAACAACAGTTTCATTCTGACTGTTCACAGTTCATTCTTAATGTTTAACCAGCACAGTTTTTTATGCACTCAATATATTCCTGACAGCTCAAACAACCGAAAAAAAAAAATCAGTGTCTTCAGTAACACAGCCTTCATGCTGAAACGCTTACACATTATGTATATTTCTAAGAATAGAAATATTTTCAGTAATTATTCTGCAAAAGCTTCTCAGCTATTGGTCAATGTACTAACTCAACCAGCATTTTACCATACTGCAGCGAATATGCACATTTAAAAATTCAGAAAAGCAGTTGCAATTTACAAGGCTTATCATGTTGAATACCCTAAAATATGTTGTAGAAAGTTTGTTAGGTATCTTAAGTATCAGAAAATAATTAGGACTATTTGTTGAATTGCTACTAAATAACCTGGGTTCCATGGTGCAGGGGGTTAACAGCTTCTATCTCTGGCAGAAAAGTCCTGGAGCATATGCACAAATTGTTTTTTTTTAATGGGAAAGGGACTCTGCTCAAACTTAGCATCCTTCTTTCCTTCTCTCTATCTGTTTTGGCACAACAATGATAACTACTCAGTATTCTTACTTGCTCACCAACCTGACACACTACAATTCCGAAAAAGCAAAACTGATGCTGTTATGAAAAAGATTTCTCCGTTTCACCTCATGGACATTCACATCACACCTGACTGTGGGAATTTCATCTAAGAAGCAATGGAGGTTCCACATCAACTCCTTTCCTACAAATTTAGCAAGACAGATACAACACTCCTGCAAAATGTACTGTTTGCTATTGAATTTTTTCAGCAATATTTACCTGTGACTTTCATACTACACAATTCAGATGGTTAAGAGAGGATTCCTCAAAACAAAGCAATAGTTATAAACCATAAGTTACAGAGATGTGACAGTCCATAAATCATACACCCTGAGTACAAAAGGGGTTTTGCCAAACAGCTTGTAGCCCAAATGCTTGGGAGAAAAGAAAGTAACCTGAAATACAGGAGGCATTTGTTATCACTTGGATTTATCAACTTGTACATGAGGAGCTTTCCCTACCATGGCTTTCTGGTTTCGTGGCTGTCATGTCAATTTCAGCATCCAAGAAGAAGTCAGGCATCAGGGGGTGACCTAGAGGGGAGTTAAAAAATAACAGTAAGTCTAAGTGAAGGTGAACAGCACAAAAAGGAATCCACTTTGTATGAAACTACACCACAGTTTATATGTAAAATAAACTGCAATTTGAAGGAAAGACATACCATGAAATAACATGTTTAGGTTCTGGTTCATTTAAAATCAGACCTAGAGGCCTCTTACAGATGCAATGAGAAACATCTGAAGATGATACATGATCTCACTATTTGGTAAATAGTTATATATGCACCTATAGGGCAGGTGCATTTTACTTTTGTCAACGAATTTCTTTAATAGACATCTATGATTAGAGCTTCTGTGAACAAGTATGTGCTTTCCAGGAAGGCAAGTTACGGAAGTCGAGCCATGTGACTTTTTACAGACTCAGGTAAGAGGCCCTTCCTCAACTTACCTCTCATTTTAAAGATCTCTCTTACCTGGTGCAATTGCATAGACATCAAAATCCTTAACTCCTTCTTCTCTCAGCAGAACTTCATCAATAATGAAGTTTCCGGTGAAACTTTTCGGTTTTGTTAAAATGCAATACGCAGCATCTGCAAGGATGTCTGTTTTTCTGCACTGTTTCTCTATTCCAGATCCTCCCAACATATCCATAGCAGCTGTGTGTATAGCTGGAAAGTTTGGAGGGTAAGAAAATAACACTTCAACAATGACAACATGAAATTCCCATCTCTCTGGCAAGTGCATCTTCCTTTCACATGAAAGGAAATCTTACAAAGACGAAACTAGGAAATACAACCAATGGACAAATAATTTTCTACAAGTAGCAGTAAAAATAGAAAGCTATTAAAGGAATAAAAAGAAAAAGAATGAGAAAGACTCCTCATGACATTCATCATGTCTCTCAAGCCTTCTATCAATGCCCCACACATGGAGTTTTGCTCTTCCAAGCTGAGGTGTGTACCTCATTTTGCTTTCATCCTCTTCCACAAAGAGGCTGCTCAGTTGCAGCTTTTGGCATTTGCCACATTATTAGTCTTCCCTTATACAGTTCTGCCTCATGTCTCCTTTGCAGCTTCTCTTCAAGGCTCAACTCTCCGCCCTGCTCTTTTCTAAGTCCCAGGACAGATTTCAAATCATCTCCCACACTTGGGGATGACAGATCCTGGAGGCAGAAGGATAAACCTGGCTTTAAATTATTTTTGCTCACCTTCAGACATTTCCATTCCACACAAAGCAACAGCAGCTTTGATGCAGAAATGATTGAAACATCACTTAAAATGACAGAGTAGGCACTGTACACACACAGACATGAGAAAGATCAAGTGAGTTCTGTCCACTCACCTATGAGGCTTATTGTACTCCTCTGTGGTGAGCACTAGCCTCCAGATTTCATTCACATTTGATCATCCTCAGCTTCGTTTTTTATTCCAAATCAAGTGAAATGCTATAAATAGTCACCTATAGATAAGTCGTAAATAGTTACACTGTACATACACCTAGGTCTTTTTCTCTTTTCTAAGGACAGTAAATAATCTTCAGGCCTTTCTTCAGTCCTCTGAAATGTGACCTATCCTGCAAGATTTCTCTTAATTGTTTAAATTTTCTATTTCAGTAACTACCAACAACTCAGAGGTTATTTCCATCAAATACACGGATGAAGTTTATTAGGTCCTTTTGACATGAGTATACCCCACTGCTATGAGGATTCATTAACCTCTTCACTGTTCCTGGCCCATGTGCCTCCCACCTTCTTATTAGTGCCAAATGTTATCCTTCTAAACATAAGCCTATGAGCAGAGATTGATCCAGAAGGTTTTGAACATCTACTGCCGCATACTCTGGCTGCATATTTCACACAGAGTGCTGCTGGAGAAAATAATTCGTGCCAAATCTCTCTGTTTGGATGAAGTACTTTGGATGAATTCCTTCATCATCCTTAACTCTCATAAATAATTTTATATGCTTAATCAGTCAGTGACCAAAAAACACAAAATATTAGCTAAAATATCATGTCCACTTATCAAAAGAAAAAAAAAAAAAGTTGCATGGCCCTATTCCAGATGACAAAGATAGATCCTGGGAAATCTCCATTGAAACTTCTGTGAGGTTTCCCTGGACTACTCCAGAAGCAAGCATGTGGAAGTGAGTGCATATTTCTAACTCCTTCAGAAATAACAAATAAAACAAGGATTGCTCAAAGGCGATCCTTCACTTCACTGTCAAGAAGGCAATCCAGACCACAAAGTTATGTGTGCATTTGCCTTCAGCATACGAAAGATGAAAAGCTCATCCTCTTCAAAATACACAGCATGCCTTAGAGACCTGCTCACCAAAATTCAACACCACCAGCACTTCTCTTTCTTATGTCACAACTAAGACAGATTACACTGGTGCCAAATACAAAGCTGTTCTTTCTGGTGGGATGGGAACACCCTCAGAATTCCATACGGATAACCCAGCAGGTATGAGTTTTGCCAGAGAGTACAAAGACACCATAACCAAACTCCAGAACTTAAAACTCCTTGCATTGCACCCAACACTCCCAAACCTCATGGGCAAAAAAAAAATAGAAAACACAACGTTCCTGGGGCAGACATATATCAACTAAGAACTGCTTGAAAACAAGAATTTTTATTTTTACCCAAAATGTTACAAAAAGAAGACCAAAACTATCACAAATACTAGTTAAAAAAAAAAAAAAAGAATTAAGATCTTCAGATTGACTACATCTTCTTATTCTGCCTGGTGGATTGTAAGTAATTCAATGCCATGAGGATTTAGCATCTATAGATAAACTGATCACTGATTACAAGCAACTAACATGTTCTCTTTGCTCGTCTAACCCTGAATAACTGAGCACATTCATTAGAAGAATTAAAATACATGATTGAACAGAAAAGTGTCAGGACACACTGCGCAGCTTTTGACATTAAAATTTAAATATTTTTCACGTGAGAGAATCTAGCATGATATTCACGCAGGCCTGGTATTGATGTAACTATCATTCAGAAAGTAATCCCTTAATAAAGTATTTTTATGAGTAAAACTCAGCACAAGCAGAGTTTACAAGACACCAATGTACTGGGAGAATTTACGATGCAAGTATCCAGACCAGTGAAAAACGACCTGATCTGACAGATATACCAACCAAAGCATTCAGCTGAGTACCACTCAGAGCATTTCAGCACAGAAACTCAGTTGACTTTGACTGAAATTATCAAGTTTTACTCATACTCCTCACTTTAGGGGGAGCAAACCAGAGAGTTTCTACACTCAAAACTGTAATGGGCCTGCAACTCCTAACAGGAAAGTGCTGAAACGCGCCCGGATACAAACGTTGCTTACAACTGGAGCACTAGCCCCAGAAGAGGCTCTTGCTTCATTATTTTTATTTCTTCCTCTTTCCTTTCTTCCTGCCCCTCTGCCTCTCTCACTGCTTAATTCCGCGTTAAGGGAATAAGCTTTGCTGTTGTAATGTATCCTCATGTAGTGACTAGGGCCACGCCATCAAAAGGCAAGATTTTAAGGGCTCTCTGATTTTAATGACATCCGTATTACTTCTGCAGATAGACGTGTTTGGGATGAAGGGACATGCCTCTTTGTCCAGCAAGGACTAAATTTTGAAGCACAGCCCTGATCCTCACTGCTCCGCAGACAACAAACTGGAGGTAACAGTTTAGGAACACCAAACTGTTCTACTTTACAGCTCTACATCCTGTGACTTGCAAAAAGATGGTTGAGTGAACAACTATTTGCTGGCCCACTGTGCCAAAACTTCTAGAAGGAGGATTTTTTTTTTTTAAATTACCTCTACAAAGGTATGTCTCTTGCCAGTTTCACCTACCTCCTGGCAATCTAACCAGCAGGGAACTCTAAACAGTACTGCAAATGAAAGCATGTTAGTACTTCTGTGCCCCTGTTCAAACCAGAATTCTGGGCATACAAAAAGGAGCGCAGTCAGGCCAAGTGGAAGGGCTGAATGGGTTGCAATTAGGCTGAAAACAAGTTGGGATCGAAGTGGCAATGGTCTAGTGAGAACTAGGAATGAAAACCAACATCCGTGCAGGCTGAACAAAGAATATGCAAAAGAATTGCCTGGTGTCCTGAATAATTTCCAGAAGAAGCTCAAAGTATATTTAAAGCTAAATAAACCAAGCTGTGTAAGACAAAATATAAAAATTATTTTATCATCATAAAAAAATCACCTGTTTTAGGCCATAAAGCATTGACAGCAACTTCTCCTCTAAATTCTTCCGCCATCCCCAAGACGCACATGGACATTCCGTATTTAGAAATGGTGTAAGCTACAACAAGAAGTACATGAACAGCCTGTATTTAGAAGGATAAAAATACAAGGTCTATCAACAGAACTTGAATTTTCTGCCCTTCAAAGTTAAAGTTACTTCTTTGTATAGAAAATTAACTTTTTGGAGACAAAGCAGTTTCTTCCCAGAGCAAAAATCTCTCCCTTCCTCCCCCGTGCCTCGGCAGATACAAACTGTAGCCTGCCATCTCTTCACTGCAAGTAGATGAGCTAAAAGATGAGCTAAGCATCTTTTGGCAAATAAAAACAATGACTGAAGCTCAACTTTATGGTGTTAATATTGTATTTTTATACACACACTGACAGCAGCTCCATTTTTTCTGCAACACAGTAGCTGCTTATGATCGAACTGGTATTTTAGTGAAGGGAAAAAAAGAAAAGAAAAATGAAGAGGAAGAAAAAAGGACATTCTAAATCCTTCTTTTCTATTTTGAGAAGGGAAACTTTTAGGGGGAAAGAACTTGGACTTGCTGGGGGAGTTTTACAGGACAAGTGTCTAAAATTGAAAGCTATTCAACAAGCTTAAAATGAACAACATATGTTCTAGCCTAAACACAGAATGAGGTCTCTTTCACACCTCAAAATAATTTCCAATTAAAAATACAGCCTTGAGTTTTATTTCTATTAAGTCAAACATGAAGCTGAAACTGTAAGAAAACAGACTTTGCTTTTCTAATTCTTTGTGGAACAGAAAACACTGTGCTGTCTTAAGAATTCCTATAGAAAAGCACAGTCTCTTAACTGTAGAGCATCCTTAAAAATAGAAGGACATATCAGGCCATGAAACTTGCACTGTGTTTTCCCACAAAACAGTTTTTTTTCATGTGAGGTGCAACAGACTCTGGGGAACCATTACAGGCAGTCTGTACCGAATGCTAAGAACATGAGATCTGGTGTTCTGGGCTGGCATTCCTGCACATTTCACCAGTTATTTATGTGGTTCTCAAAAACAACAACGAAGCCCCTGAATGCCACTCACCACAATGATTTTTGAACCACATGGGATTCATATTCATAGGTGGGCTGAGGTTGAGGATATGGGGGTTCTTACTCTTCCGCAAGTATGGAAGGCATGTCTTGGACCTGGAAGATAGAAACCAGACAAGTCAGTCCCCTCTTATTTTACAGGACACTCTTCCTTACAATAAAAAATGGCAGAACACTATTTTGACTTTCGTGAAGATCCAACACTAAGCTGAAACCTTGCCCTTGTATCAAACATTTAACTGAGAAATAGAACAACAGAAAAAGTCTGTCCTAGCTCACTTACCTCAGCAGTAGCATTCATGCCTGGTGACTTGGCTACACCATCCAAGCAGTGCAGCAGCACCACCTAAAGCAGATTTTCCAGATGCTCAGAAGCCACACTCTGCTTGTAATAGTTTTGATAGGGTCAACAAACCGCAATAAGGGAACAAGCCAAATCACCAGTGCAGAGCATCATTTGGTCTATGTATTCTCTTCTGATTACACATCTATTTCTTCCTCAGAACCACATCCAAGAAGTAATACTGCATTGTGAAAAGCTACTGGAGTAATTCCAAACTAAACTCAAAACCTATTTTCTGGTGACCAGAAGAGTCACCTACTTCATTCAGGCACCAAACAAAAGACATTTTAAAGAATTCTTCATTAATTTGGAATAGCTGGATGTTACCATCCAGAAACTGACTGTTGCTGCTGGGGGGCTGAAGGTGTAAACAGGGCTTGCCACCAGCAGTACAGTGCAGCCCATTCAGAGAGCTAACGAGGGACATCCACAGAGCATTTTGTGCAACGCCATGCTGCAAGAACAATTTTGCTTTACAAGCACGGAGCTGCTTACGGTTCAGCTTTCAGAAGCAGATAACGCAGGGTGGAAGTACAGGCCCACCACCCCGCAGCCAGATTTACTACTTCCTTTCCATTGCTCTCTCTACCTGCTGTTGACATGCTGTGCATGCCTCTCTCTAATTCAGCAGGCTGATCGTGTGTGTTTTTAAACTACTCTAATGACAACTCCTTCGCTGATCTTTAGCAACAGAACTTACAGGAACATTATGCCTGATAACCAGATTCATCTGCAGAAAGCACCTCAGGTAAACTGAGGAAACCTTTTTTTGTTAATGTGTTAAAATTTGTTAAATTTGTTAAAATTACTTCTCTCTCCTTTCTCAGCACTTACGTGAGGTAGGTCCCTCGTACGTTGACATCCATCATGAGGTTGACCTTCTTTGTCTCTGTTTCCAAAGTGCCAGTCAGAGAGATGGCGCTTGCATTGTTCACCAAAATATCAATCCCTGGTTTTAAAATAAGCCGTTTCACTTTAGCAGTTCAGAGACAAAGAGCAGGAGTAAAGCAGGCTGTTCTTTTCTTTTGCTGTTTGAACAATCTGCCCGTTGACCTTTCCCCCACATCCCAGCATACCTCCAAAAGTCTTCACAGCTTTCTCCACAGCATTAATAATTTGCTGCTCTTCCCTCACGTTAACGATGCATGGCAAAGCCTTTCCTCCAGCCGCTTCAACTGCATTAATTAGAAAATAAAGCATTTAAATATTGTCTCTCAGGTTGAACAAATAGTCTGCTGAGAATCTCTCATCCAGTGAACCCATCGAAAATGAGACTCTCACATTGTGACCTTTTCACACGTCGTATAAAGAACAGGGAAGCCAGAACCCAAGCCTAACGCTGAGATTGTGTATGGTACAACTAGATGTCTCAATTAAGGCAGCATTTTCACTTCTGCACACATACGTCTTCATCATTATAGTCTGATAACTCACAGAACTCCTAGGAGGCAAGAGAACCAGGTAAGCGTATTGTTTTAAAGCTGAGGGAGTCTGAGCAGCTTCCCACTTGCTTACAGAAATTAAGCTAGGACATGCACGCAGCCCAGCACCTGAAGCCCACCCTCATTTGTTACAACTTACTCTCTGCTGCAGCAGTGTAGATAGTCCCTGGAAGTTTAGGATGGGGCTCAGCTGTCTTGGCAGCCACCACAATGTTTGCACCATCCTTGGCAGCTTTCAAGGCAATGGCTTTGCCAATGCCTCGGCTTGCACCCGTGATGAAGAGAGTGCATCCTGCTAGTTTCCTAAAGATAAACAGGTAAGAAGGGTAAAGAAGAGGGGGAACAAAGCAAAACCTGTAAATCTCTGACTTTTAGCACTCTTCAAGGACAAAAACAACCTGCACGATCTCCCAGCCAGCCGATTGCCTTCCACATTTTACTATGAAAACATACCCAAAGTATGGATGAGATGGATGAAGCTACAGCAAAGTACAGTCCTGCACCAGCCCTGAAGACAAGGTGATGTTCCAAGCTAATAAACACAGCAAAGCAGGAAGGTTACACGGGTCATCCAGTGACCTTTTTGTACCATGATCCAGCACTGCTTACAATAGAGCTGCTTAAGTTCTCCAAAACCAAAAAAGGAGCCAGCTGTAAATCGAAATGCCAGTTTCTAATGACATGACACTCCTCCGCAGCTCTCTGCAATTCACTTCTCACAGCCCTCTACACGCAAAGAATTGCTGTAAAGCTCAGGACTAGAATCACAATACCAGTGCAGGGTGCCAAAGACGAGTGCCAGAAATCTGATTTTCAGAAAGCAATTTTTTCTCTTGAAGTTTTTACACTAAACTCAACAGTTTCCCAGTAACTATGTTTAATGTAATAGTGTCAGAAAAATAGACATTTTTCTTACACACATAATGTCGCTGATTCTTAAGAGCTAAAAATTCAACTCTAACTTGGGACATGCTTGGCAATAAAGCGTCTTAGACCACAGGTTTTCCAAACGAAGGAATGTGGACTGTGGTGCTCTGCAGAAAACTTGTGCTGCTTTTCATAACCGAGTGAAAAATAACAAGAGGTCTAAATTTTCAACCCCGGTTAATGAATGAATACAAACCATGTGCTACAGCAGCGTCACCACTCACTCACATCACGAATGTGATGTGGTTTTATTTTCAGTCTGGGCTACACTTGATTTAATTACTGTTCCTCCAGGTCTCAGTTTTCTCTCTCCGGTCTGAGAACATCCCTCTCCAAAGCAACCTCGAGGAGGGTATTTGCTCTCAGAAGACTGAAAACTGAAACGAGGCAGGAAGGGGGAGGAAATCTTCCCCTGCAACAACAATCTTAGTCACCAGCAGGGTCCCACAAGTCGGTGAAGCCCTGCAGACGCCAATTCAAGCAGCTGCCTTCTGCAGAATTGGGTTCTAGAGAGGCACGGGAAGAAAAATCTCAAAATACATTGAGTCGCAAAAAAATGCTGCCTAGAGTTGAGTCACAGGCACAATGAGGAAAGATCATCTCTGTAATTCATCACATATGAAACGCCAGAGAGATCAGTGGTGCTCCCCACCTGCTAAAGGAAAGCACACATTTCTTGTCTTCCAAAAACGCCCAAAAGCACGATTCCCTGAACCACTGGCTCATCAGACTTGTCCTGGCTCTTGGGAAAACCATGGACCAACATGGACCAGCTGGTCAAGCGCAGAGGTGGTGGTTAGCAAGTCATACACTGTCTTGGAGACCAGTATTAAGTCAGGTCTCCTCCAGCACCAGTCGTGTCCAACACCTTTATCACCGGCCTGGAGGAGACGACAAAGTACACTTGGCAGGGAGGACAACTGGCTGATGTGCTTGAGGGCTAGGCTGCCTTCCAACTGGGAAGAAAGGATCCCTGTCGTGACACAGTGGGGAGGGAAGCACACAGCTGGAAAGGGATGGGGACACTTGGCAGGGAGCAAGCTGAGCGTACACCAGCAGCACCCCGGGATGCAGGAGCACCATAACCAGCAGATGGAGGCTCACACTTGGACCTTGGGGAAGGTCAGGTCACAGAGCTGGGGCCAAGGCGGCCTGAGCTATCTGCAGCCTGGGAGATAGGTTCTTCAGACCCAAGTGGATGTGACCCAGAGCAATCCAGACGGACCTGACAGCTGGTTTTGGGCAGGACTCTGAGCTGGAGACCTCTCCAAGCTCCTTCCACCCTGCGTTACTCTGCAACTGGAGGAATCCACACAGATTCAACTCCTTGGCCCAGATCATGACTGTTTAAAATATCAGGAAACATTATATTCATTCCAGTTATATTTTCACTGGCTTGAGTCTTTTTTTTTTTTTCCTTTTCCTTGCCACTTTTCTGCACAGCCTACACAATCCCTCCTCCCCAGGCTTACAGCCACCACCGACTGCATTCACGCCCTAGGGGTCCTCCAGTCCTTCACACGGAGCTCCCATTTCTTTCAGAAGCCCACAGAAACACTGCTTACCAAAATATGCAAAAACTTAACAGGAAAAACTCATTTTCAGGAACAACTTTCACACACCCCGCGGAGGCGCCGCGCAGCAAGCACCCGAGCCCCCAGCAGCTGCCCCCCTGGCGCACGTCCCCTGACGGCACACCCACCGCCGGGACACCCCCCGGCCCCAATACCCGTCCTCCCCACGGGTCCCCCTCGCTTCTCTGCCCCGTCCCCAGCCCCATGGAGAAGGAAGGAGGGAGGCCAGACGCCTTACCCCGTGTTGGGCAGCATGGCGGAACGGGGACGGGCCGCCCGGGGCCGCCCCTTCACGGCGCAGCCGCCGCGGCCGGGAGGCGGTGGCGGGGCGGTGTGAGGGGGTGGGCGTGGGGGTGGCAGCCCCTCAAGGTGTCCCCACAGCCCCTTACTCCGCTGCCACCCCCGGCCCCGAGCTGGGAAAAAGAAGGGGAAGGAGACGAGGAAGGCTTTTTGGGGGTTTGGGGAACGGTCGTGGGTGACGCCCCCGCTCTGCTGTTACCCCGTGTCGTGGCACGCAGCCTGTGGTCTCCTGAGGAAGAGCTGGGAGAAATTTGGAGAAATTTTGAGACATTTCTTCTCAGAAAGAGCAGTCAGGCACTAGGACGGGTTGCCCAGTGAGGTGGTGGAGTCACCGTCCCTGGGGGTGTTCAAGGGAAGGCTGGACGTGGTGCTTGGGGACATGGCTTAGTGGGTGACATTGGTGGTAGGGGGGTGGTTGGACCAGATGATCTTGTAGGGCTTTTCCAACCCTAATGTTTCTATGAAAACGTGACCATTCGGAAGGAGGTAGCTTCACACAAACACTTAATTTCATGAGGAGATCTTTCAGATCAGTTATCAGCTCTTGTATTCCCTCCCAGCCGCAGCTGCGATCAACTTGCTTCTGCCCTGTCAGTGTCCCTAGCCCTGCCCCGTTTATTTGAGTTGGTTTCAGCACTACACTGCCACCTAAGTCCATTTATTTCTATTTTATATTCTAACAAGTCCCAAGGTCAATGTAGAAATAGGCACAAACTTCAGACTTTTCAGATGAAAAATGAGGCATTCAAATCACTTCCTCCATTTTTCACTGCTGACAAACGTGCACCCAAATGAACAGTGATATTACTTCAACTTAGTATGAGAATTTTTAGCAGAAGAATCATCATGTCTAAAATATTCCTCTCAAACACTCTGTTATTTGACTGGTATGTTAAAAAAATAAATGGAATTGGACACATAACAGCAAAGGATGAGAAATTTTCCGTGTACATTGCCACTAGGAGCACTTTCCACATTTGGCTCAAACTCAGTTTTCATGACAGCAACCCATACACAGATTTCCTTAAGGAAATAATGGGTATAAAGGCACCCAACACATGTTGTACTGGAATTTCTTTTCTAGGGAGGAGCAAATTAGCCTGGTAAGCTGGGATGGAGCAGAGTGCTCAAACAGGCAGTGACAGAGAGGAGGCAGAGGAGGAGATACGACTGTAATGGGACTGCAGCTCATGCAGAAGCACACTTGGGAACAAGTAAGTAGCAATGCACTGACTCCTGCACCACTTGTCTCATCACCAAAGGGGATGCTTGTATATACAGTGACGGTATTGGAGATGGGGGAGAGTGGAGGAGGGGCGTGCAAAGGTGAGCTGAGGTATTTTTTTCTAAGTGCTTGTTTGTTTTCCTTAATCAAAGCTAAAATCAATAATTAAACATTTATACTAATTGGCAATAAATTCAATTGCTTGGAATTCCTCAAACAGGACAATGCATATGTTATTGTTTAATAGCTTGTTGGAGCTGATAATTTCTAATGATAATAAATTTCCTCTGTATTTCAAGTTTTCTTCTTTTCTGCCCAGAACTTGGATTCCATTCAAGCTATTTGGCAAATGAAAACAAACAAACAAACAAACAAAAAATAATAATAATAATAAAAAAACCCACACTTTTCTGATTTAGGGTGTATGATTTATGGAAGTGAAAGCAGTGTCTGTACTTCATGTCAGGGAAAGCACATTACCTTCTGCAAGACTGTGAAAATTTCATGGTGTAAAATCAATACCTTATTTTGAATAATCATTTTTTGTCCTGAAGACCAGATGTAAAAGATTGCTGGAAAAATAAATAAAATAATAAATAAATAAATAAGAAATTAAATAGTAAACACCAGATTTTGCGAGAGTGTCATACGATCTATCTTGCTGGATTTATACAATCAAACAACCTCTTGTGCCTTAGGTGAAACTTGCCTGATTTCCCAGCTCTTAGATAAAATGGAGAATTTTTATTTTTTTTAGGAAAGCATCAACATTGATTTTTCAGAATTATATTTTATCAAGCAGTGGAGGGAAAGTAAGAATGCTGCATAGGTTTTGATAGAAGTGTCAAGAGAGGGATGACAAAAGGGCAGAAGGGTGCTAAGTTTGAGCAGAGTCTTTTTCCCTTGAAAATATTATTTGTGCATATGCTCTAGCTCTTTTCTGGGAGAGATTGATGCTGTTAACTCCCTGAACCTTGCAGTCCAGGTTGTTTGTTAGCAATTCACAAAACAATCCTAATTACTTTATGATGCATAAGACCTAAACAACTTTCTATAACATTTTTGAGGCTGTTCAACTTGATGAGACTTGTAAGTTGCAAATGCTGTCCTTTATTGCTACACGTGGATGTTTCCTGTAGTGTAGTAAAATGCTGATTAAAGTTGTGAATGGAGTTGTGAAAAGCTTTGAAGACATTCAAGAAGAATTAATTTCGTGTAGGCGCTTCCCAGGCATTCAAGGAGAAGAAATCAAGTGGATCCAAGCACGAAGGCCCAGGTGGAGCTAAGGCTCATACAGCATCTGCTTCAGGTCCTGTTGCAGAAACATTCAGAGTTATTCAGGGAGCCATCAGTAAAGAATTGTACTTGTACACTTGGTACATCAACCTGAAAACCAATGACGGCAGCGCTGGCTTTGGAAAGCCTCCTGTGACGGCCAACGTCGTTATGAGCATGTCGAGTGGCGACTTTGTGAAAATGTTCACAGGTGAGTCACAAAGGCATGCACCAGGGGGGCAGCGGTGTGTCGTGCCCAGGTTTTATTCGGATCATTTTATTCTGCTGGTGGCTCAGTCGGCTGGCTCTTCTCTTTGTAGTCCTGGGTCTGGGTGAGCATTTAGCTTCTGGGGGCTCAGTGCAAGTAGGATAGAATTCCTTGGGCTTTTCTGGACTCTAACCTCTCTGAATAAAAGGCACAAAAGCTGAACCTGTTTTGTTAAGTAGCTATCAGAGATTTCACAGGGCATGTAGCTCCAGAAAGCATCCATAGTTTCCGAAAGCATCCAGTCAATCCATTAGACTTCTTTTCCGCACATCCCTCATCTGTTTTTCCTAAAAGTGTGCTGCTTTTGCATAGTTGGGTAGCAGAGTAACCACCAAATACTACTTTAGGGTACCAAGGTTTCATCTGCATGTTCTGTCTCCAATTCTTTTCCTGCTGATTCTGTATCTTCTTTTTAGGTAAACTAAAGCCAACCATGGCCTTCATGTCAGGAAAGTTAAAGATCAAAGGTAACATGGCACTAGCAATAAAGCTGGAGAAGATGCTGACGCAGTTTAACTCTAAACTTTGAGGGGAAAGCCTTCCTCATGGAACTTTGGCCTTTCATGTATAATGACAATGCTGTTTTTAAATACTTGTCCTTTTTAATGAAATATAATAAGGTCTGGTACCCCTGAGTTAGGTTACACACAGCTGCACACACACGTGCACACAGCTGCACACCCCATCCTCCGCCACAGACAGGGCCATGCCTCCCACAGCCCCTGCAGGTAGCTCCAGGAGGTTTAAGCTGCCAGCCCTGCACAGTCAGCCAGCCATTTAGGTCTTCCAAGCACGCTGAGAAGCTTGCAATACTTAGGATTTATTTCCTAATGTGCTTCATGGTCCAATAGTTTTCAAGTTTTTCAAGCCCACACTCGTCCGAGATTGCCTGCATGGTCCATCCTTGCTGAATTCATGTAATAAGACAGAAAATTCACATTGACCGTTGTGCTTGCTTCACCATTGAAGACGTGTTCCTCTCTAATGAGGCGTGACAACCTGGGGTGAAGGCAGGGGTAACTCACTCCTCTTTGGGCATCTGGGCCGGGGTCTGGCCCTACAGCAGCTCCCCAGCTCCTCGGTGTCTGCTTGAGCAGGCGGGGGCAGGGTGGCTGGTTTGTGTGAGGGCTGGCATGAACTCAGCAAAGGCTGTGCATGGCATAGGAGACAGAGCTGGCCTAGCAATGGAAGCTATAAACTGTAAGTTCCTACTGCTTTTTTTTTTTTTTAAGTAGCTAATGAAGATTTTGTGAAGAAGTTGTGGCACTGTTTTATAAATGTAATTTCCACATTTCTCACTATTCGAAATTGTTCTGAACCTCCTTTAGCAAAACTTCAAAATGGTCAGAAAGTAATAGACTGATCATGAAAAAAGAAGCTTTACATTGCATGTTAGTCATTATGATTAAATCCTCAAAAAAAAAAAAATCATTTTTAATTCCAAGAAGGCCTGGGAAGGCAAATTCTTCTTCAATTAATCAGCCTCCTCCTTTTCAGAGAAGTACTTCAATGTTATTTTATATATCTAATAAATATTTGTATATATACGGAAATGTTTTATTAGGCTGAGGTATTAGAAAAGGACAATATTTAAAGTGTGATTTATCGTTTCTACAATGTGGATAAAAATACCAAGCATATACCAAAGAGGAATTTCTAAAAAACTGTTTCTGATTCTTCTTTTTAGGTAAAGGTAAATTTAGGTTGAGGTAAACTAAAGGTAATCGTGGCATTCATTTTAGGAAAATTAGGGGCTAAATGTGACATGGCACTAGAAATGAGACTGTAAAAGATGCTGCTACAGTTTGTCTTCATACTTTGAGGGGAAAGTGTTGCTAGCAGGATATTGGCCTTTCATGCTTTTTGGACTACTATTTTAAAATGCCAGACCCTCTTTTTCCTTGGTGCAGTGGATGTGTGGGTAAGATGTAAAATTGTTTGTGAAAACATAACTCAGTCTGATTGTAATGCCCAACACACAACACTTGTTTCTTGCTATAATGATTACAAGAGAAATGATATCCCAAATGGTTTATGTTTTAATGTGTGGAGTTGTTGTTTTTTTTGGTTTTCACTTTTTCCACTGACAGCAAACTGTGCTCAGTTACTGTGAGATGTACACCACTTAATACAACATGATTTCTTATGATATTATTGTGTCTTTGAATTAGCTGACAAGCAGTGAGATGTGAAATATGATCCCAGGATTAGGGGACATGTAACATATTTCCATTGTACAGCTAGGGTATTTGTATCCCTCTGACTGGGATACAAATAGCATTTTTTCTCCTATACAGGTCAATGATGTTCACAAAAACTTGTAGGAACTGGCCCTCTCTATCAGATGCGATTAAAAAAGACCAGTGATCTCAAGCTATTGAAAATCATCGAAAATATGAGGTATTTTGAAACCTGCAGATATTAGAAAATGTTCTTGAAATCAAACTATGTTTCTAAACACAGCTCTGCAACACTATAGGAACTGAAGCAGATCAAAGAACTTGAGTAACAAGAGCAAGGCTGTTTACTTTTATACCCATTTCATCATCAACACCCACGCCTTAGCAGTCTTCTGTGCAACTGCTCTGCCAAAGCATTTTGTTTTTCAGGATTGCTGGGTGAGAGGTGTGGGGAGGAGGGAAGGGTGAGTTGCAGCACCCTACTCATTAACTATATCCTGCAACCCAAAGGCTGAATGTGGCCGTTTGGTTCCCTGCCGGTGCCTGCAGTAAGGCATGTGTGTGTTTTTCTCGTGCATTCGGCAACACTGCTCCTGCACAAGATGGTTGGAGCTGTGAATGTCATTTGATGATGCACTCTGCTGTCTGTGTAATCCTAGAGAAAGGTGTCTTCTTTAGAAGGAAAGTGCTTTTGCTGGAGATGGATCCACAGCAGTGCAGAGCTGTCTCTGACTGTGTTTCTTCTCTCCCTAGTAGATCTGTGGTGTTTACTGCATGACAAAAGAGTGAGAGTTCACAGTGCTGGTGTGGGTGACACTGTTGGCAAACAGGGCCGTGTCTGGCCACTGCTGTGGCTGTGTAATTGCTCATGCTGGAGAGAGAAGGGCAGGGACTACCACATCCAGCACGCTGATTGCTATAAGCTGTTAAGAGTTCCAGCCTAATGGGACAAGCAAGCACGGAAAAAGGAAAAACAGAAAGCTTGGATCTCTGCTTTTCAATGAAATGTGTTTATGCTGTGCTACTAGACCCAGGTAAGTGTGCATCCCGAGGGCAGCACCGTGAGCATGTGGGGAGGTAGCCCACTGCCTTCCCTTTAGGAATAGTCCTTGTAACAGGGGCTGGTGGTGCTGAGTAGTAGGCATACTTGATCCTTGCTTAATGAACTTCCATGTTATGTCATTCCTGGAGTTTCTGCTGTAAACAGACAGGGCTGAAAAGCGTGCCAATCTGTTGGGCAGTGTAAGGACAAGACCTGCAACGGGTGCTGAAATTATTGCCGGTATTTGCATTCCACCGAGAATTTCTAAATGAGGATAGAAAATGTGCTAGTTTTTAATCTGTTGCTCAGTTCACGACCTTCCTGCGTGCCAGCAGAGGGAGCACACAGCACACGAGACGAGCCACACAACCCGGCTGCGGGAATGTCCCCAGCTGGAAGGGACCCTCCAGGATCCTCCTGGCTCCACACAGGCCCCCCCACAAAAATCAAACCGTGTGCCTGAGAGCGTTGCCCAAACGCTCTGTCACCGTTTTTGGGTGCTCTCAGTAGTTTTGTATCCTTATATTGTGGCACCCAAAACTGCACACGGTGCCCCAGGTGAAGCCACACTAGCACAGAGCAGAGCAGGACGGCCGCCTCCCTCACCCAGCTAGCGGTGCTGTGCCTGATGAGCCTCAGCCCTGTCCCTGCTCCCGATGCCTTTTTCTTGAACCTTTCCCTAACCCCCAGCCTGACCCTCCCCTGTCCCAGCTCCATGCCGTCCCCTCGGGTCCTGTCACTGTCCTCAGAGAGCAGAGCTCAGCACCTGCCCCTTCGCTCCCCTCATGAGGCCGCCATGAGGCCTCCCCGCAGCCTGCTCTGCTCTGGGCTGAACACACCAAGGGACCTCAGCAGCTCCAGTTGTCTTGCTCTCTAGACCTTTCACTACCTTCGTTGCCCTCCTTTGGATATTCTCTAACAGTTTTATGTCCTTCATATTTTGTGGCACCTGAAACCACACGCAGTGCTTGAGGTGAGGCCACAGTTCACAGAGCAGAGCAGGACAGTCACGTCCCTCCACCGGCTGGCAGTGCTGTACCTAAGGCACCCCAGGGTGTGACTGGCCCTCCTGGCTGCCAGGGCACACTGTTTACTCATTTTTGATTTTCCATTGACCAAACCTCCCAGATCCCTTTCTGTGGGGCTGCTCTCCAGCCTCTTGTGTCCCTGTCTTGCTCCAGGGTTGTCCCATCCCAGCTGCAGAATCTGGCATCTGCTCTTGTTAAACTTCACGTTGTTTCATATATAGATATGAAACTCCATATTTATAAAGATGAAACTTTACATACTTTATATATAAACTTCATATAGCCAATTGTTCACCTCTTGTGTTATGTATTTCTCTAGCTGTGTGCTGGGCATTTTGTCCAGAAGGACACTGTAAGAGACAGTATCAAAAGCTTTGCTGAAATCCAAAAAGATTACATCAACTGACTTCCCTTGGTCAACTAGGCGAGTAACCTTGCTGTAAAATGAAGTAAAATGCATTAAACATTGTGAATGGATTCCCATTGTGAACCCATGTTGGCTCTGATTAATGACTGTGTTGTCTTTCAAATGTTTTTCAGCAGCTCCCAAAATAACCTCCACAATTTACCAGGCTCTGAAGTGAGAGTGGCAGGCCTACAATTACCAGGGTCTTCCTTCTTGCCTTTCTTGAAAACTGGGACATTTGGCAGCTTCCAGTTGAGACCTCCCCAGATTCCCAAAACCACTGAAAATAATTAAAAGTGGTTTTGTAATAACATTAGCTGGCTCTTGCATTATGCTGGGATGAATCCCATCAGGCCCCACAGACATGTGCATCCAGCTGGGGCAGCAAATCCCACATGAACACAGAGTTTGCTGGGAGTTTATCATTTCTGCACATGCAGGACAAAATGCTATTCTTGCCAGGTTTGCTGCAGTCTCACCACAGGGAAAGAGACACTAATGAACATCAATACATTTTTTCTCCTCTTGGTAGGTTCGAGGAGGAAATCAGCAGAACACTAAAATCTTTACCTGTGCCATGCAGCCTCTCACCTCTCTTCCCTCACAAGTATGAAATGCCCTCTGAGAGGAAGTACTTGCTGTGGACCATGAGTGAGCATGTATTTCTCAGTGCCGGAGCAGTAGGCTTGTCATACTCATGTGACCCACCAAAATAACCAGTGAGAAAGTAATACTTTATTATCAGGAAGAGACTTGGTATAGAAGAACATTAGCTTGAATTCATAAGTTTTTGGCAAAATTAAAAACCATTGAATTGTAGAATCAGTAAGGTTAGAAAAGACCTTCAGGATCATCTGGTCCAACCATCCCCCTACTACCAATGTCACCCACTAAACCATGTCCCCAGGC